AAATTGTGAAACACCTCTTGACATTTACTTAGAGTCTAATAATCAACTTGTCTACTAGTGTAATTGTATCAGATCTGCAGTTTCAGTGCTGAAAATGTGCAATGTCAGTATGAATCTGGTTAATCAGTGTTGACGTGCGACGGCTGTAGGATTTATGTGTTTGAAGTTTGATTTTTGTTGCTACTATTGATTTTTTTTTTTTTAGATATAATGCAGATAATGCAGAAATTGATTTGTATAAATATTGTTTAATGAAAGACAGTTATACAAGCCACAGGACCAAAATCTTCATTTTGAACAGTTCTTTCAACAAATTGCCCTGCACAGTTTGTCATGATGATTTTTGACTGTTATGAAAGGTGAGATTCATCCTGTTTTGATAGGAAACAATGTTCTGGTGTTGTCAAGATTATATCTGCTACTGTATTTGTTGTTGTGGATCTATTGAACTTTAGTCTCTTCTAACCAGTCACGCTATAGCTACAGAAAACACAATGTGCATCAAGACGAAAAATCAAAATCAGATTGAAAGTTGATTCATGGTAGATTATAGTAATTTACCATACACAATAAATTAGAGATTATAGAAAGAGAATTCATATGTTCATATGGCTATATTATTAATTTGCTCAAAATACAACCAGAAACGATAATGCTGTGAAATAGTATTACAATTTAAAATAATGTTAGAAAAAAAAATGTAAAGAAAAAAAATGATATTACTTGCACTCTAAAACATGCTGGGTTATTTCAACCCAAATTTGGATCAAATATTGACAAACTGGGTTAATTGGGTTAACATTTTAAATTACATTTTTAACCCAAAATTTGTGTTTGTCCATATTTTAACAACCCAGCATTTTTTAGAGTGTAAATTTTAAAACAATTATTATTATTAATGTTGAAAAGTGTTCCTTAATATTTTTGTGGAAACCATGATACAATGTATTTTCTTTAGGTTTATTTGATAAATAGAAAGAACAAAAGAGCAGCATTTATTTGAAATATATTTTGTAGCATTATAAATGTAATTTTTGTTCAATTTAATGTATCCTTAAAAAAAAAAAAAAATATGGACAATAGAATATTTATGTTTTACAAATATCTAAAATCCCCTGATTTTACCTAAATGGTAATAACCATAATTTTAGACATCAAGAGTTGCAGTGGCACATGCTTGGCTTCATTTAGGCCGCTGGTGAAAGTTGTCCAGTCGTTGTTCTCTCTCAAGCTCCCGTGGCGATGACATATTGATGCCGTTATTCGTGTGTATCCATGCCAGGCTTCAGATCTACAAACACGGCTTAAATGGACTCCATATGTGAAACATCTTGAGCGCAGGAGGCTTCTCTAAAATGACCTTATTCATCAGGAGTAATGCACTGTATATCCCTCACAGACGTCAGCAGGGTTAATGCAAACCCTTCGCTCGGTTTCACAGCGGTCGCGCACATGGGATCAGGAGCTCATACATTGTTGGATGTGGTCACTTTATTTGTAGGTGCTCGCTGGAACTCAGTGATTAACTCATCAATTAAACTCAAGGGATAAACCTTATTAAAGCGTTTGCGTTCATGCTAATCGACGCATGTGGTGTTTGTGCCAATCAATGACCAATCATAGGAGCATGATGATGAATACCATAGTAATTAATTGGCTGTCTTAGTCAATCCACAGCTGAGTGTTTTGTTTAAATCGCGCCTTTTTTCTTGCTAAATGTTTGGATTTAAATGACAATGGTTTGGCTTGAGATATTGAAAAAGTAAAATGCTATGTGGGGATAATATGAGGCCTGAACAATGCTCAAGTACAGGAACTTCTAGTAATCTTGATTCACATGCAACTGCATTCCTGGCTGTGTCAGAGTGCAATTCATACTGTAATGCAATGCAAGAACATTTGCATTGTCAGCATTGCCACAGTTTGTTTTAAACAGTGGAAGTACTTTACATTTCTGGTTATGTATAGCCACACAAGATAATAAACATTAGACATGTTGTCATAAAACCATTGTGATGAAATTCAAAATTCAAAAAAACCCAGAAAATACAATTTAATACAATTTTATATTTGAATTAGGGCTGTCAAACGATTAATCGCAATTAATCGCATCCAAAATAAAAGTTTGTGTTTACATAATATATGTGGGTGCACTGTATATAATCATTTTATATATATATATATATATATATATATATAAATACACACACATGCATGTATATTTATTATTAATATATTTTCTATAAAAAAATTATAAATATAAATTATAAAATTATAAATTATATATAAATCTATATACAATATACTGTATACATGACAATATTTCTTAAATATGTACAAGCATGTATGTGTATTTATATAAAATAATTATACACAGTGCACCCACATATATTATGTAAACACAAACTTTTATTTTGGATGCGATTAATCGCGATTAATTGTTTGACAGCCCTAATTTAAATATGTAATTTATTCCTGTGATGCAAAGCTGAATTTTCAGCATCATTACATCCATGATCCTTCACTCTTAGAAGAAATGTTTCTATTTAGAACCAGAAATGGTTCCATCCCCTGCTTCATATATGGAACTCCATAATGGTTCTATATAGAACCATTTTATTTTATTTTTTTGGTAAAAGCTTCTATTGGCCAAGTATGGAACCCCAGAGGAACCCTTTTTTTAAGAGTGTATAGAACCTTTTAGGGGTTCCAAATACGTATAGCGCTGATAGAACCTTTTAAGGTTCTATAGAACCTTTTCTTCTAAGAGTGTTCAGTAATCATTCTGATATGATGATTTGCTGCTCAGACCTTATTTTACTCATAAATTGAAAAACGATTGGAAAATCTTGAGGGAACCAGTGGCGAATCAGTCTTCCAGATGTTGATGTTATCCCTGCACGCTTACGCATCTCCTGAATTAGTACTAAATCTCCGGAAACAAAAAACACCGGCAAAGAAGCAGCAGTTCCGTATATTATGTTCAACGGGTTCATGTTTGCTTTGTATTGATCATGCATTTGCATTTGTCTGACCTGAGACTTCTGGTGGTTTGTGTGCAATAGAGATCTGTGAGCAAAGTTTGAACTGGAAGCCAGATGAACTTGTCAGTGCAACATTTCTGAGGTCATCCTGCAACAAGGAGGGGGAATAGATGGTTAATTTCGACAAAATTTGCAGGCTGAGGGGAGACTCCAACCTGAGTGTTGCACAGAAATCCGCTCCACGATTTAGCGCCGTCTCAACCTCCGGGGAAGTGGTTTACTTTGCTTGGCTCCTGTTGAGCTTTGACTGGATGCTGGCCAGCGAGGGGAGTAAAGTTTGCCTCTCGGGTTGCTCCTGCAAACACAGCCCCGGCTTTGATTTCATACCTCCGTCTAGTTAGCCCTATCGGGGAATCAAATGGAGGTGGTGGGGGATCCATGAGTCCTGATCTCTCGCTAAATCCCAATACCACCTTGGAAAAGGCTTGTGTCTATAAAAGATCAGAGGCTCGCTGTAAGTCTTTCATTGCAGACCTTTCTGCAGAATTAGTAGTGGGTGTGATTCTTTCTTCTCAGATTTAGGCCTTTTTACTGTTGTCCTGTCAACTTTTTGTCCAGCAGTCTTGTACATACAAAAGTATTTATTTTTAACTTGTTAAATTAGATGTTACATTTGACCCAAAAAAATACGTTATACTTATTTTAACCCCCAGTGTGATTTTGTTGAAAATAAAAGTGATCATAATTTACAGTACTCACCCTCAAGCCATCCTAGGTGTACTGTACTGTATATGACTTCTTTCTTTCAGCCAAAGACAATTATAAAAACAATTTTGAAGTCAAAGCCCAAAAAAGCACTCCCATCCATCATAAAAGTAATCCAGAAGGTTAATAAAGGCCACTCAATTGCCAGAACTAGACCCGCGTTTGCCCGTTACCAGAAACCAGCCAAATATGGATATTTTTCTTACACAAACGTATCGCTTCAGAAGGCCTTTATTAACCCCCTGGAGTCATATGGATTACTTTTATGATGGATGGATGCACTTTTTTGGGCTTCAAAATCTCAGTTATATTCACTCCCATTATAAAGCTTGGAAGATCCATGATATTTTTGGGTGAACTAACCCTTTAAGAAAACGAAACCTTGACATTACCTCTAATGGGAGTTTAATCTTCATTATAATTCAGTACATTCTCACTCAGTATTATAATGCAAAACTCCAACTCTAATTATTACATATAATACATTTATATGAATTTACAACGATAAGTAAAAATATTTGCATTGAAATGTTTAAGTTAGAAAAGGCTGCATTACACACTAAAAATAAAAAAATGAGTAATCACTGTATTTAAAGGAAATGTTAGTTAACTTAATGGAAACTATCCATACACTTACACTGCAATAATGAGAATCAGCAATGAAAATAATGACAAAAATAAAAAGTCAAAAGTAAACTATTCAGACTCATTATGATAATGAACACTTGGAAGGAAAATGTGCTTAATCTACATTAATATAAATAAAAAATGCATTATGGTTTTAAAAATGATTTACTCTAAATGTTATTTTGGCTTGAAATATGACCCTTTTATTTAAATCGGATTTATCCATCAAGATAATTTACCAACAAGATAATTGAGCGTTAATCATTTTCACTACTCTCTCCTCATTTTGGTTTCAATGAAATGCATTTTCAGTCAACAGAAGAGGAGAGAAATAGGGAATGAGTTTTTAGAGTCCCTCCCACCAAGCTCCCCCGGGTCTGAGGCTCATTGACACATCAGCACATGCGATGTGAGGAGAAAGAGACTGACTAGCTGACAGACGGCACAGTAGATGAGTTTGGAGACACAATGGAAAGGACTATGCAGCGAGCAGTGAGCTAGTAATCCAGCTGCCATCCGAACACAATGACTACATCAGCAGCGCTCGGCCCACCATGAAAGATCACTGCGGACCACCTTTTCAGAGGACGGATCCTGAATACATATCCGTGTGTCTCTTACCAGATGAGTCCTACCAGAAGCTGGCCGTGGAGACCATGGAGGAGCTAGACTGGTGCCTGGACCAGCTGGAGACCATCCAGACGTACCGCTCCGTCAGTGACATGGCCTCCAACAAGGTGAGATGCTTTCTGCATGTTTGCATGCTTGAGTTTAATGATAACTTTCTTTGTGTTAGAATAGTACTTTTTGATGCCTTCCACATTTCATTTGTCTGTTATTTCAAAGCCTAAGTCAATGTTTTGTTGGTATAAGATGGAATTAGGAGGATTTGATACCCTCATGTGGTATTCTGCAAACCCTACTGAAGTATCTTTAATGATGGTCTATCATGCAGTCTTAAACGTTTAGTCATCTTATTTCCATAGTGCACCAGTATTGGTGAGTCACAGCTCTCAAATGCAGTTTTGAATCTTGGAATTTTTTTATATTTTGTGCTGATGCATGGATAGAGTATGCGGTTGTTCATGAACTGTCTGGTCATGTCTGTGAGGTTAATACTGGGAACGTAATTGATGATGAGTTGTTGACATGGGATCTAGGTATGTCGCAAAACATTTACACTGTCAGTAGGAAAGCATGCAATAAGAACTTGACTGATTCCCTGATTATTACCCAAAATATTCCATAAGAAACACTAAAATAATGTGTATTCATTGTTTATATCCAGTTTGTTGTCTTGGTGAAAGGCATTTGGCCCAGTCGGCTATTGTTATTTTATTTTAAACACATGAATTCAACTTTGTACTGTCAGTGTGGTTATGGATTCAGTGGATTTACTGGAATCTGTGTTGAAAGGAAACTGTTGAAACACTCATTAATTAGAGTGAAAAACCAAATGATTGAAGCAGTTTCTTTCATACAGGCATTATTTGAGTATTACCACTGGCACTGGTCTCTTTTTTTCACTTGTGACCTCATTGCTTTGTTTACCCTGATACCTAATCAGATCTAGATATAGAGCATAGAGTTATAGAGGACATTACCTCCCTGACATTGAAGCATTCCAGACTCTATAATACTGCATTTTATCACACATATGTGATAAATAAATATATACATACATACATACAGTACACACACACACACACACACACACACACATATATATATGTATAAAACTGAAAATATGTTTTAAAGATTACAAGAGTCTGATGAGAATCAGTATTGAAAATGATACAAATTTAGAAAATGTGCTTAATCTACATTAGTATAAATGTATTGTGGTTTAAAAAATACTGTTGTTAATTATATTTAGCAAAAATGTATTAAATATGTAACATTAAAATATAATTGATATAATAAATATTTTAAATTTATTGTTACTTTTTTGTAATATTACCTAGGCTGAAAGATATGGTATAAATTGGTATAAATTTCATAATTATACAGAATAAAATACTTTAAAGAATTTAAGTGTATTTCATTATATTATGTGATTATATTATATTATACGCAACCTTTATATTTGCTACATTTTTACATCATATATGTTATATATATGGTGAAATATATTTTAAAGTTATATTAGTAGTTGCTACACAGACTGCAGAAATAGGTTACACTTTATTTTAATATGTCCGCTTTATAGTGTAATTATACATTTAAGTACTGAGTAATAGTAGTTAACTACATGTACATACTATAGGGTTAGGTTTAGGATTAGGGTTTGGTTTAGTTGCATGTAATTATGCCTAATTTATAGTTATTGCTATATAAAAACATGTAGGACACATACAAAACAATATGTTACCTAGTCTTCTTAAAGGGATAGTTCACCCTTAAATTTAAATTAGCCCATGATTTACTCACCCTCAGGTTTTCCTAGGTGTATATGACATTGTTCTTTCAGACGAATGCAAGTTATATTAAAAAAAATGTCCTGGCTCTTCCAAGCTTGATAATGGCTGGAGGACTTTGGAAGTCCATTAAAGTGCATCTATTCATGATTAAAGTTCTCCACACTGAGAGGCATTCTGAAGTGAATTGGTGTGTTTGTGTAAGAAAAATATCCATATTTATAACTTAATCGGCTAAAATAACTAGCTTCTGGCAGACGTTCGTACGCATCAACTTACGCCAAAAGAATTACACTTGAACTTGACGGAAAACGTTTGGAGAACTTTAATCATGAATAGAAGCGCTTTGATGGACTTCCAAAGACAGACACCCATTCACTCCCATTATCAGGCTTGGAAGAGCCAGGAATTTTTGTTCATATAACTCTAATTGTATTCGTCTGAAGGAAGAATGTCATATACTATTCACATAGGCTTCAGGGTAAATCATGAGGTATTTTTTATCCCTTTAATAAGTTCTAGTCATATATTGTATTGTTTATTCAGAGTAATGTTATTGTTAGTTTATTGTTGAAAGTGGAAAGGCGACACATAATGAGATTGAGTTACGTTGTGAAAGTCCTCAATTTACGTCACTAAAAATGAACAATAAAAGACTGAGTCTTCTTGGCACGCCTTTGAAGTTCTGTGAGTAGTAATTGAGTCAGATCCACCCATGTGTGCAGTCAGAGCAAGAGTAGCGTGGTCTCAGCGCGCCTCTACCTGAGGGAGGAGGGCTGGTCGTCTGCAGCGAGGTGAATCAGTTAGCACTTTGTCTAAGGCACTTCCTGACAGCCGTCAGAGTGAGCTCACAGGCACTGCCTTGCACATGCTCACCAGTACTGCACGAAACACCTTCACTGCAACAATGGGACTGTGCTACTCGGAGAAAAAGATCAAATTTGGTGTGCTAAAAAGCTGGAGAGAGGTGAGATTTCATTTGAGTGCAAAAGTTTTTGTTTGTTTTGTGGAATTTTGTGGAATCCGTATTCATCCGTCTCAGTTATCGGAGTTTGGTTGTCCTAATGTTGTTATAAGAAATGAGAGCATATGAGCTCAGAATTGTCTTTCGTTTTTAGAAGTTTGAATATGTTTAGATGTGTGAAAAACTTAAAATAAATGAATGAAAAAATAAATGAATTGCCAACTGTGAAAATGGGGAATAGTGTAGTAGTTTGACTCTATTTTAAAAGTTCACTGTTAATTATAAAGTTCAATTTAAATAATTAGCCTAATTTAAACTGATAATTTATTTAAAAATGTAATTAAACTAAAACAATTTTTTTAAATACTACTTATTTTTATTTTACTTATTTTTATTTATTAAAACATATTATATGTTAAAAAAGAAACATTTGAATATATTTGAAGTATTATTTATAAATAATAATCATAATTTGAAGATAAAAATTACTTTAAAAAAACTTTTAAAATACTTTTTAATTTTTTTTTTACTTGTTGACCTCTGTTCGACAGTCTAGTTCTTGTATAATAACAGCTGAAGTGTTCATTACATTTATTAATTTAATAGATGCTTTCATCCGAAGCAACTTTCAATATATATATTTTAGCAATTTTATGTCCTCGCTATGGATATAGCAATACTATGACCTCGCCGTGGCTAACATCATGCTATAAAATAAAGTTTGAGTTTCAAAAAAATAGCCTGTTGCAATACTTCCCAGAACAATATATTACAGGAACACCGCTGATGTGTCAGAAAGGTCATATATGGTATTAAATGTGGAGGATGTGCGGGACTGATTAATAATCTTGAGAACATATTACTTCTGACTGGCTGGAGTTTTTTCATGCAAACACTCGGCTCTGATTATGTGAGAATTTTCTCTGATTTGATTATTACTACATAGCAAACAACTGTAAATCTATTTTGTACCATGCATGTATTGCATAAAAAAATGTGCATATACAAATTGAAAAACCTTTGTGGGTTTTGTGTGTTTGTGTGCATGTATCCGTCTTTGCTGCGGCAAAGGATGTGGAGTGTAAAGACAGGAGAGAGAGAGAGAGAGAGAGAGAGAGAGAGAGAGAGAGAGAGAGAGAGAGAGAGAGAAAAGAGAGAGAGAGAGAAAGAAAGAGAGAGAGAGAGAAAGGAGGGTGAAAGGGAGACGGAAAATAACAGATAGAAACAAGACTATATGCAGCAGATATCATGAAAGTCTGTCTGGATTTCTCCTTATTGTTGCTGTTTATGGGAACCTGGCTGGAATGTGAAAGAAAATACAGAGGGATGAGTTTAGGAGAGTCAGCGCCGGGATTTTGTTTGAGCTGAGAAGAGTTTGTGTAGAACTCAAATGAAGAGAGGAGTTCAGGGTTTAGGCACGAACTGAGGACTCCATCATGCCTGAAGTCAACTACCTGCTCTCAGTGTCCTGGGGTTACATTAAGGTGTGTTTGTGGGTTATTAACCGGCGCACATTGGAATGTACTGGTTGTTTAAAATGGAGGTTGCTTGAGTTTCTTCCATTGCTTGGACTGGAAATGGAGAAATCCAGAAATATTTATACTGTATGAGTTTAACAAGACTTGTCTTGTTTGTTTTAGTTCAAGAGGATGTTGAATCGGGAACTGACGCATCTGTCTGAGATGAGTCGCTCTGGAAACCAGGTGTCCGAGTTCATCTCCAACACATTCTTAGGTGAGTCTGGGCTTTCTTTTCATCGTCTTATAATAGGCGATAGCATTGAAACAGATATATGGAGAGATATCCATACAGTGTTTTTACTGCAGAGTTTCAGACATGTGGGCTAAACTGAGAAACCAAAACATCATGAGAAATATGGTGAAAGCCATATCTCAGATGGTGACAGAGATAAAAGATTGTGGATAACACTTCTCCATGAAAACACTGATAGCTAGAGAGGAGTTTTTCAAACCAGTCTGATCTGGTTTGGCATCTACGCAGCGAGAGTGTGTGCGAGAGAAAGGAGAGCTGAAACTGTAGTTAGATGCCACGGGGTCACTGTACTCCCCTAACCCTGCCGTCCAAAGCCCTACAGCCTACGTGCTTACTCATCAACGGGGAGTTTTTTTAGACAAACACTCTTAATATGCAGTGTTACTGAGAGCTCACACACAGCTCAAGCTCTCCTGACTGACAAACAAGAGGTGTTTAGAACGAGAGAAAAAAAATGTGTGGTTCTTGGACATCGATGGGGAAAATAAATCAAGAGATTTCTCTCGGATGTTTTTTTTTTAAATGCATGTTTTGAGTATACACTTTGTTTTTCTTAAAAGACCTCAGTAGGAATTGACATTAGACACAAGTACTATGAATTGGATTGGAAAATATATTTATACTCCAGACCAACTTCAAAAAATGCTTTTTTATTAGAAATACTCGCTCATGTCAAGCAAAAATACTATTTAAACAAAACTGTTTATGTTTTTTGGGGGATTTTTTTTTCAATGGGAGTGTTATTTGCTGACAAACTGAACAAAACAGGTTTATTTTAATCCGCAAACCGTTATTTTAGATTTGACCAATATAATAATACACTTATGTAACCACTAAGACTTTGGCTGCCAGCTTCTCCAATAAGACCATGGCTTTGCTGATCCAGCTTTACAGTCCCAGCATAAACCAACCTGGGCCATCATTCTGGTCTAAATGGATATGAAGAGTTCAGATGCAAAAGCCTCTAAATGCCATTTGAAATTTTCTTCTTTAATGATGATTTTTATCAAACTTGTATATTTAAGTTCAGTAATTTCACTTAAATAACAATTAATAGGTAATTATCATTGCCATTTAAGTGAAATCACTGAACTTAAATATACAAGCTTGATAAAAATGATCATTCTAGAAGAAAATTTCAAATGGCACTTAGAGGCTTTTGCATCTGAACTCTTCATATTTTCAGCTAGGAACACTTAGCTGTTGCATCAACTGTTGAACTTGTAGGTGGCTTGTACTAATATCAAACTTTATTAGGCGACTTGAACTCACTCAATGAGTCTGAAAAGTCCTGGCTGCAGTTGTGGATTGAGTGTGCGAGTGCTGAAATGAACAATCTCATGAGTAACCGGCCGAAACCTCCCCCCTCCCCGTAGATAAACAGAACGAGCTGGAGATCCCTTCGCCCACTTCGAAATCGCGGGAGAGGAAGAGGAGGCAGCAACAGCTGATGAATCAGATCAGCGGGGTGAGGAAGGTGACGCATGGCCCTGGTCTTCCCGGCAGCAGCAGTACGGCAAGGTTCGGCGTAAAAACAGACTTGGAGGACTTGCTCTCTAAGGTATAGTTGTACATTACAGACCACCAGTTGTATGGAAATAGTGCAATTTCGTCGAGTTTGTACCGTAATTGAACGGATCCTTTCTTGCCTTATGTAGGACCTGGAGAACATCAACAAGTGGGGTCTGAACATCTTCAGTGTTTCAGAGCACTCTCACCACCGACCTCTGACCTGCATCATGTATGGCATCCTTCAGGTTAGTACATAAAAAAGCTCTTTTTAAAAAAATAAAAAAAGTTTTTTAAAAATGAAATGTAACTAAAGCATGTTTCTTTGACGTAGGAAAGAGATTTAATGAAGACATTCAAGATCCCAGTGGACACCTTTGTGACATACATGATGACCCTCGAAGACCACTACCACGCAGACGTGGCCTATCACAACAGTCTCCACGCGGCTGATGTGGCCCAGTCCACACACATCCTGCTGTCCACGCCCGCACTGGAGGTGAGGAACTCGAATATGTGGCCAGCCGTATAGCCCTTTGAATTGACATGTCTTTAATCTTCCTTATGTGTGAACCCTCTAATCTCTAAACAGCCTGCATGTTTTGTCTGCAGCTGGTTTTCGCTTTGTCTTCTCTTAGTGCAAAAATAAAACTTGAAAAGACAAAGCTGTCTTTTATCTACAAAATATTTTGTTTTATTAAAGGTCATTGTCGTCAAACAAAGTCAAAACTGAATCTGTTTCAAGTCTCAGAGTTGTGTTATGATGCTTGAACTGTGTGCAACACACAAGTACTTGACCAAGTTGATCCACGTCATGTAACACAGTCCTTTCGCCCTTATTTTTCACAGGCAGTCTTTACAGACCTGGAGATCCTGGCCGCTATCTTTGCAGCAGCCATCCATGACGTGGACCACCCAGGGGTTTCAAACCAGTTCCTAATTAATACCAGTGAGTGTGTTTTAACTACTCCTCCCTTTACATAGTCAAGACTATGTATGCTTATGAGTCGAAACTGCTGCAGTTATTGCAACTCAAACCATATGGAAGAGCAAAGCCTCAGTGTTATGACTGTTATGTTATGACCATGCCTCTCTTTACTGCAGACTCCGAGCTGGCGCTCATGTACAATGATGAGTCTGTTCTCGAGAACCATCACCTAGCGGTTGGTTTCAAGCTCTTGCAAGGGGAAAACTGTGATATCTTCCAAAACCTCTCCAAGAAACAGCGGCAGTCTCTCAGGAAAATGGTCATTGACGTGGTAGGTAAAAATAATAAAATTAAATTCAAGTATTTGAACTTGAAAGAGAGCTGAGAGCGTTAGCTAATGTTAACTAATAGAACCTTGTTGTAAAGTGATACCCAAACATACACAGTAAAAAAAATTGCTGCATTACACTTTCACTGTTAAAATGAATACGACTGAATATGTTAAATCTAATCAATAAAATTGAGGCAACAGATTACAATCAATATTATTAATTAAATTGAACAAATTAGAATTGAGTAATAACTAACCAAATGAATTACTTAAAAGTTAACCATTTAAAATGAGTAGAATTTCCATATTTTTTTAAAACAAAAATATCAGAAAAACAGATGTCAAATATGAATTAAGAACTCTTTTTTTTTTTATTGCCAACACTGAAGACACCTGATGATAACAAGCAGAATCACTGAAGGAGAAAACCGTCTTTTTACGTCACCATTATGGAGATCAGTTTGCGTTTTAGTTGGGCCAATTCTTAATTCAGAATTTCTTAATTCATCTTTGACGTCAGTCTGTTTTTCCGATATTTTTTGTTTAAAAAATGTGTAAATTCTACTCATTTTAAATGATTAACATTTAAGTAATTCATTTAAGTAATTTGTTAAATTTAATTAATAATATTGATTGTAATCTGCTGCCTCAATTTTATTGATTAGATTTACTGTAACATATTCAGTAGTATTCATTTTTACGGTGTACAATCAACTTTGATGTTGAAGTCATTTCAACTTCAATTACATTAAACTGACTTAAAAATGAGTTGTATAACTTCAAAAAGTTGAAAATTGCTTATTTTATTGCTTATAAACGTTATTTTGATGAGTTAAAGCATTGTAAAAATATATGTTTATAACTTATTGATCATAAAATGTTGTACAGTGTAGGCCTAATAATTTAAAATTTACTTTAAAGTAAAACTGTTAATTGAAGTTTTTCACCCTTACACAAAACTCTCACTCTCACAGATTCCAATTGAAATGACTGGGCCTGCAAAAAGGCGTAGAACAATAGTAAATCTCCCAACTAACTACGTCTCCATCTCTCGCAATAGGTACTAGCGACAGACATGTCCAAGCACATGAGCTTACTGGCTGACTTGAAGACAATGGTCGAGACCAAGAAGGTGACAAGTTCAGGAGTGTTGTTGCTCGACAACTATACGGACAGGATACAGGTGAGTCTTGGCTTATGTGTCCTCAACAACAACATTCAGTTCTTCACGGCTTCCTCGATATCATTCAACGTCATGTCTCACGATGTCCACAGGTCTTAAGAAATATGGTTCACTGTGCCGATCTCAGCAATCCCACCAAGCCATTGGATCTGTACCGGCAATGGACGGACCGCATTATGGAAGAGTTTTTCCACCAGGGTGACCGAGAGAGAGAGCGAGGCATGGAGATCAGTCCGATGTGTGACAAACACACCGCTTCAGTGGAGAAGTCTCAGGTGGGAATCCATCTTTAGCATACTTTTAAAAAGAGCACTTATTGTGGAAATAACATACTTGAGTGTGAACTGAATGGAATGTTTTTCAAATATTTTACTGAATGTTATTTACAATTCAATTTATATTAAGTTCAATAAGTGCTTTTTGACCCACTTAAGTAGGCTTACATTTGTATAGGCCTGTGTGCTTTCATAGTTGTGATAGTTTCATAGTCAAGCACTTTGCATATGCTTTATGTTGTTAACTGTTGATATGTTGTTTATGTATGTTAGTCAACACATCAAAATATGTGTACTGTACATGACAACAGATTATTCAACTATTTAAAAAGCACTTTATTTGAAATTATTACAAAGTGCTATTACAAAGACTTTTAAAAGTGTACTTAAGTGTGTTAAGAAACACTTAGACCAAAGTCTCGACAAGTGGAACCACGAACAACATGCCAAGTGAGCTGAACTGTATGAAACTGTAAGAATGGCGTTCGTGGTTCGACTTGACGAGACTGTTTTCCAATGATGGCTGCTGTCTGTATACACGAAGTGAACTGTCTTTATAAAATATCTTCTTATTAAACGGTCTGTACACTGACAAAGTTCTCAATGCTTCGTTTTGCATGTAGGGACCCTCATTATGTTACTGTGTTAGTGTGGGGCTATTTTAAGCCTTGTCAGTGGTATAAACTAGCGATTTCTTTTTACTTAATAAATGCCCCCATTACTAGCATTATTCGCTAAACAGTTTTTAGAGATAAAACTCTTTATATTCGATTATCATGGAAACAAATCTCAGAGAACACTCGACTAGGTACCAATGTGTAATTAGACCAAAGGTTCTCCATTTCTTTTGGTCAAGTCTGGTCATTTCTAGAAGGGACTTATCATGTGTTTGTTTTCCTTTTAGGTTGGTTTCATTGACTACATCGTGCACCCGCTATGGGAGACTTGGGCGGACCTGGTGCATCCGGATGCGCAGGATATCTTGGACACTTTAGAAGAGAACAGGAACTGGTACCACAGCATGATACCACAGAGTCCCTCCCCTCCCTTTTTCGAAACGGGAACTGACGGTGGAGATAAGTTTCAGTTCGAGTTGGAGGACGAGGAAGGAGCCAAGCAGGATACAGAGAACCTCTTTGAGACAGACAGTGTTGAGAATGTGACGCGCTCTCCTTCATCTGCCGAGACGTAGCACCTCACTACATGTTGGCCGTATTTGATGACAGAGTAAAGTGGAGGAAGGTTATTCTTCTGCTATCTGAGAATCCCACTGAGGACCACTGTGTCTTGGGACTCTGCTGTTGTTACAGAGCCTATAATGGGGAGCGAGTGAACATCCTACACAATATAGTTTTCACAGAATTTGCAAGAATCCAGTCAGGGTGGACGGACAGGCGTACTCCCGAAAGTGCCATAAGCTGGATTTTCTAAATCAACAGGTGGCAGTGAAGAACTGAATGTTGAAGTGGGTTTCTGTGAAGGAGAAATTCTGACCCTCTTATTAGAGGGGTTTGTACTACAACATTAAATTGACTTTTTTGTAAAAACAAAAAAGAAGACTTTTTGTACTTCAAAAGTGAGGAATGTCGTCATGCTGAAGCAAAAGCATGTAATTCCCAGTCCTGTATTGGGAATGCAGTCTTCCTAAATTTTAGACAACGGAATAATCTATTTCTTGTGCCAGCATACTTTATCTTTATTTAACAGAACATTTTTGTACTTTGTAACACACAGTTTCTCTTTTAAAAGGCGTTCTTATAAAGCGATTCCTCTGGTACATCTAATGTGATGTTTTATGTTGTATTACAGTAAGTAAAAAAAAAAGGATCCAAAGAGTCCAGCATTTTAGTGGTTACTCTTAAGGAATGTCCTGGGCTGGATAGAAATTAAGCTCTTTTGATTGTATTTATGGCAATTATGTTGATTACCACAGAATACAAAATATGTTGGGTTTTTCTTTTTGTATTGTATTTCCATTGTTAGAGCCATTGGTACATAGTGTACAATAAGGAACTACTTATTGATTTTTGCTTTTTTTTTACTGTTGGGTAGTCTGAATTTAATTTATGGTCAAAATGATTTTTTTTCTTTGGTAACTGACATCATCCCACAGATGCTGTTGATCGAGCTGCACTAGTATCAAGCCCAGATCATTCCTTTAAAACCACTTTAATTTGGGAAACAAACATCGCTTAATAGCGACATTAAACCGATTACTGTTTTTTAATGTACTATATAGTTAAAAATGACCTCTTTGTGTCTGTAAATGTCACTAAGATACTTTTATGTCAAGAAAAAAAAAGAGACTTAAGATTCAACATTAAAAATGTCAACTCTTAAATGCTTCATTTCTTAGAATCCAAGCTGTTAATATTCACGGAATAAAGTCAACAATAAACCTCAATTACGCAATCACTGATGTCAAACAATGCAGTTTCTCCTGAATGTGCTTACTGGTCAGGAACGGATGTGGTGAACACACGTCATTCTAGCTGAGATTAGCCTTTAAATCAACAAGTATATTTTTTTTTTCCTAAAGAGATGTATATTATTTGCTTCTGCTTACCTTTTTTGATAATGCATTATTATTATTATTATTTTTATTTGATTCACAGTAAAATGACTACATTTTCCCACAGTCCAACTGACGTAATTTGCCCAAATTGAAATTACGATTACAGTGTGAAGCTAAAACTTGTCTTTTCTACTCATGTTTGTCATTGTGAAGCGGGTGATGAACAAGCACACTGTGGAACAACTGTGATTCCACTGGTGGAATCACTGTTATCTCCATTATTATTATATTTATTATTATTATTATTATTATTATTATTTTTTTAGTATTAATCCTCTGTTAAAGTTGTGTTGCACATTTCTTATTTGTCAAAAAAAAGAGAGATTAAACAAAGAAATTAAAATTTTTTGGTCTGTGAGTGATGTAATTTATTTTGCATGCTCCATGTCTATCTATAGGGGCAGACGGCCTAGAATTGTACTGCACCAAATGGGAAAATTTGTCACTGTAACATTCCTGGACATAAACTATATAGCTACAAGAAAAAAATAGTGTTCTCAATTTATATTAGGTGTCTAACTTACATTAGAAAAAAGTACAATTGTCAGAGGATGGTGATGAAGGAAGGAGATGGATATAATTCCAGCCATTTTATTAACAAACCAAAAATAAAGAAGGTAATACTCTGAACTGCAACCTGAGGAGGGTAAATACACCAAATAATGGGGGGACTCATCAATCAACTAATGACAACAAATGAAAAGTAGGAACAGGGAACAAAGGCAATGAGTACAGGAACAAAACGACAACAAAGCATCCTTGTAACAACAATGCACTTATTGTGTTCATGTTGTATTGTGAAACACTTTTGCTGCTATGGAGGTGAAATACGGGTAAGTTAAGGCTCAGGTTTGGTGGTATATGGGTAGGTTTAAGGGTGGGTTAAGGTGTAAGAGAAGGGTCAACAGTGTAACTTCAATTCAGAAATTATTTACAACTGTAATTTTATGCAGGTATTATAAATGTAAGTACAATGTACTTTAAACGTAAGTACATCTAGTTTGGTGAGAATTGTGGTTGAGTCATCAGACTCTGTCAGCTAAGTTAATATGTAACTTTGGATATAAATTTGGATTTTTGTTAATGTATGTGTTAATTGAAGACTAGCAGTGATGTAAAAAGTCCTGATGTATCAAAAGTATGCCCTTAAAGCCAACAGAAATCCAAGATTATTATAAAAAAAATATTGAACGCTTCATTTAATTTCTTGTTATTGCATTTATTTAACACATACATGAAGATGGGTGGAATAATTAGCTGTTAGCTATTTCCCCTGATCACGCTGATATAATAACAAACACCGAAAACAGAATGAAACAATGTACTCATTCACCACATATCAGAGTAGAGATCATGCAGACGTGACAGCAACCACTACCTAGAAACAAACAAAGTGCATCCTGCTCAGCAAGACTGGTTTCATTGAGCAACATTTATACTAAAGTTTACCAGTTTTGTCGATGATCAGCTTCAGCATGCTGACTGACCTATGTGTAGCGAACTCTGTGTTTTGACTGACTGGATTTAAAAGGTTAGTTCACCCAAAAATGAAAATTCTGTCGGTATTTACTCACCCTCATGTTGTTCCAACCCCGTAAGACCTTCGTTCATCTTCGGAACTCAAATTAAGATATTTAAGATATTAAGATCGCTCCTGCATACTAGTCCATAGGCTTCTTGAGGGAATGACTCTTGCTGGCATCGACAAGTCATTAAAGACATCCTTAAAATAGTCCAAGTGACTACAGTGGCTCAATTTTAACTTTATCCAACAACGAGAATTCTTTTTGTGCACAAAAACAAACAAAAATAACGACTTTATTTCAACTATTCACTTCCTTCTCCATGGGCCTGTAGTCAGTTAACGTAGTGTGATTGCGTAAAGCTACGTCACACGTAGGCTCACTATTGGCCGACGCTGGTTATGTGTGATGCGTGTGACGTAAAATAACAGAAGCTTAGGCTATTAAACTAGTAACCTGACTCGCGCAGAGGGAGAAATAAACGAATAGTTGAAATAAAGCCGTTATTTTTGTTGTTTTTTTTGCGCACAAAAGTGTTCACGTCGTTTGATAAACTTAAGATTGAGCCCCTGTAGTCACTTGGACTATTTTAACGATGTCTTTAATGACTTTTCGAGGACAGCAAGTCATTCCCTCAAGAAGCCTATGGACTAGTATACAGGAGTGATCTTAATATCTTAAATATCTTAATTTGTGTTCCGAAGATGAACGAAGGTCTTACAGGGTTGGAACAACATGAGGGTGAGTAAATACTGACAGAATTTTCATTTTTGGGTGAACTAACCCTTTAAAGTTGTTCCAAAGCATCGTAGGATATCATGGATGCCACCTTAGAAATTTGATTCGATTGAAACAAACCCCTCACGTTTAAATTGCGTTTTTAACACATTAGGGCTGCGCACTCTAAAAACAAATGCTTTTGCTAACAACAACAAATGCAACAGTTTGCATCAAACTTTTTGACTTATAACAATTTCCAATGACATATTAAACTAACAAACTACACTGAATTAGAGGAACCTAATTTGTGGCGTAAGTTAATTAATCAATTTAATTTTAACATTTAAGGCTCGTTCACACCAAAAGCGATAACTATAAAGATAACCGATAACTATATTAGCGTCCACACCTGCGCAATATCGTTCTGTTTATCATAAGCGCGTCGCCTGTCGCTTTAAATGCTCAAGCACTTTAAGCAGGATGTATTCTGATTGGCTCTCATGTTTATCATTCATTAGATGGACAAAATAGTTCTGAAAGTGATTCAAAAAATATTGTTTCACTGTGCCATTATCGTTATAGTTGTTGTGTGGACTCTGCTATTCCTTCATATTTGGAACAATTTAAATCTTTATTGTTACAGTTATCGCCCTTGGTGTGAACAGGCCTTAATGCTCCTTATGTAAAGCATCCTGGGAACTAGTAGCTAATCCACTGCCCAATTTTCAGATTTATCAAGACCATTTTAGTTACTAGACAAAGAAAATGTTACTAAAAATGGTTTTAATTATTGTCACCAGAACTAATGTTTGCAACTTAAAAGGTTTAATTCAATCATTAATTGGAATTTTTAAGTTGCAACCATTCATTTATTTAGGTTGTGGTAAAAGGTCCTCTGAATTTCTATTTAAAGTGTGACAGAAAAGCTTTGCCACTCTTAAAATCTAGTATGGTAAATATACTGAAATATATTTTCTGACAGTGTTAATAGTAGTACTTGCTTGAATGACCAAAAACTAGACAAGAGAATGGGGGTCTATGAAGTACTTGGGGAAGATGTTTGAGACGTGCTATTTAGGGTCAGTTTTTTAAAACTGAAAAAAAAAAAAATCCAGTGACACTTGGGTTAACTTTTTCCATCGCTGCCATGTCAGTAGCTATGAAAGCTTGGGAATTTTTTTTTTTTAGAGTGCCACAAAAACTTTGCAGTGTTTGACGTCAAAGTGCTTGTTGTTCCAGTGAGCAGCATGTGGAAACTCAATACATGTGGGCCACTGGAGGCTTTTCTTAGGGCCCGGAGCTCCAGAGGAGGAAGTGATCAAGCTTCTTCATGGCAAAAACCAGTCTGATTACTTTCCCTTCGTAGAAAAGAGCAAATTTCCTGATAGCAGGATCGTTTATCGCACACTCAAGATGAGGGCTATGTTGAATATCTGACTACAGAATTCATTCAAGGAGAATAAATCAAGTTTGTTGACAGAGAGGAAGACAATTCCTGAGAATGAGGACTGACTTTGACAAAATCTGAATATTTACAGTACATGCATGTGTGCATATGTATGCAAGTAGGTGTAACCTGACATACAGAGGAAGTATAGGAAATTGTTCTAGTAAATCTGTCTCTTTGGAAGGCAATCTGTTGATCACATCTAATCTTCGCTCTCACCCAGCACCACAGAGCGTCAAACATTCAGCAGCAGCACTCAAACAGTGAATACATGACGTCTAACATATTCAGACTGTGCTACACTGCTGAACAAACATCCATAATAAAAGTTTCTTATGTTCTGTCACCAATTATTTTAGCTATATTAAAGGGGTCCTATGCCCTTTTAATGAGTTTTAATTTTGTTTTGGGGGTGTACTACAATATGTTTTTATGCTTGATTGTTCCAAAAATGCATTATTTTTCACGTCCAGTGTGCTGTGATTGGTTAGCTGGCCCAGTGTGCTGTGATTGATTAGCTGGCCCGGTGTGTTGTGATTGGTTAGCTGGCCCAGTGTGTTGTGATTGGTTAGCTGGCCCAGTGTGCTGTGATTGGTTAGCTGGCCCAATGTGTTGTGATTGGTTAGCTGGCCCAGTGTGTTGTGATTTGTTAGCTGGCCCAGTGTGCTGTGATTGGTTAGCTGGCCCAGTGTGTTGTGATTGGTTAGCTGGCCCAGTGTGCTGTGATTGCTTAGCTGGCCCAATGTGTTGTGATTGGTTAGCTGGCCCAGTGTGTTGTGATTGGTTAGCTGGTCCAGTGTGCTGTGATTGGTTAGCTAGCCTAGTGTGTTGAGATTGGTTAGTTGGCCCAGTGTGTTGTGATTGGTTAGCTGGCCCAGTGTGCTGTGATTGGTTAGCTGGCCCAGTGTGTTATGATTGGTTAGCTGGCCCAGTGTGTTATGATTGGTTAGCTGGCCCAGTTTGCTGTGATTGGTTAGTTGGCCCAGTGTGTTGTGATTGGTTAGCTGGCCCAGTGTGCTGTGATTGGTTAGCTGGCCCAGTGTGTTGTGATTGGTTAGCTGGCCCAGTGTGTTATGATTGGTTAGCTGGCCCAGTTTGCTGTGATTGGTTAGCTGGCCCAGTGTGCTGTGATTGGTTAGCTGGCCTAGTGTTTTGAGATTGGTTAGCTGGCCCAGTGTGTTGTGATTGGTTAGTTGGCCCAGTGAGCCCAGTGTGTTGTGATTGGTTAGCTGGCCCAGAGGGTTATGATTGGTTAGCTGGCCGAGTGTGCTGTGATTGGTTAGCTGGCCTAGTGTTTTGAGATTGGTTAGCTGGCCCAGTGTGTTGTGATTGGTTAGCTGGCCCGGTGTGCTGTGATTGATTAGCTGGCCCAGTGTGTTGTGATTGGTTAGCTGGCCCAGTGTGTTGTGATTGGTTAGCTGGCCCAGTGTGCTGTGATTGGTTAGCTGGCCCAGTGTGCTGTGATTGGTTAGCTGGCCCAGTGTGTTGTGATTGGTTAGCTGGCCCAGTGTGCTGTGATTGCTTAGCTGGCCCAATGTGTTGTGATTGGTTAGCTGGTCCAGTGTGCTGTGATTGGTTAGCTAGCCTAGTGTGTTGAGATTGGTTAGTTGGCCCAGTGTGTTGTGATTGGTTAGCTGGCCCAGTGTGCTGTGATTGGTTAGCTGGCCCAGTGTGCTGTGATTGGTTAGCTGGCCCAGTGTGTTGTGATTGGTTAGCTGGCCCAGTGTGCTGTGATTGCTTAGCTGGCCCAATGTGTTGTGATTGGTTAGCTGGCCCAGTGTGTTGTGATTGGTTAGCTGGTCCAGTGTGCTGTGATTGGTTAGCTAGCCTAGTGTGTTGAGATTGGTTAGTTGGCCCAGTGTGTTGTGATTGGTTAGCTGGCCCAGTGTGCTGTGATTGGTTAGCTGGCCCAGTGTGCTGTGATTGGTTAGCTGGCCTAGTGTTTTGAGATTGGTTAGCTGGCCCAGTGAGTTGTGATTGGTTAGTTGGCCCAGTGGGCCCAGTGTGTTGTGATTGGTTAGCTGGCCCAGAGTGTTATGATTGGTTAGCTGGCCGAGTGTGCTGTGATTGGTTAGCTGGCCTAGTGTTTTGAGATTGGTTAGCTGGCCCAGTGTGTTGTGATTGGTTAGTTGGCCCAGTGGGCTCAGTGTGTTGTGATTGGTTAGCTGGCCCAGAGGGTTATGATTGGTTAGCTGGCCGAGTGTGCTGTGATTGGTTAGCTGGCCTAGTGTTTTGAGATTGGTTAGCTGGCCCAGTGTGTTGTGATTGGTTAGTTGGCCCAGTGGGCCCAGTGTGTTGTGATTGGTTGGCTGGCCCAGAGTGTTATGATTGGTTAGCTGGCCGAGTGTGCTGTGATTGGTTAGCTGGCCTAGTGTTTTGAGATTGGTTAGCTGGCCGAGTGTGCTGTGATTGGTTAGCTGGCCCGGTGTGCTGTGATTGGTTAGCTGGCCTAGTGTTTTGAGATTGGTTAGCTGGCCCAGTGTGTTGTGATTGGTTAGTTGGCCCAGTGGGCCCAGTGTGTTGTGATTGGTTAGCTGGCCCAGAGTGTTATGATTGGTTAGCTGGCCGAGTGTGCTGTGATTGGTTAGCTGGCCTAGTGTTTTGAGATTGGTTAGCTGGCCCAGTGTGTTGTGATTGTTTAGTTGGCCCAGTGGGCCCAGTGTGTTGTGATTGGTTAGCTGGCCCAGAGTGTTATGATTGGTTAGCTGGCCGAGTGTGCTGTGATTGGTTAGCTGGCCTAGTGTTTTGAGATTGGTTAGCTGGCCCGGTGTTTTGAGATTGGTTAGCTGGCCCAGTGTGTTGTGGTTGGTTAGTTGGCCCAGTGGGCCCAGTGTGTTGTGATTGGTTAGCTGGCCCAGAGTGTTATGATTGGTTAGCTGGCCGAGTGTGCTGTGATTGGTTAGCTGGCCTAGTGTTTTGAGATTGGTTAGCTGGCCCAGTGTGTTGTGATTGGTTAGTTGGCCCAGTGGGCCCAGTGTGTTGTGATTGGTTAGCTGGTCCAGAGTGTTATGATTGGTTAGCTGGCCCAGTGTGCTGTGATTGGTTAGCTGGCCCAGTGTGTTCTGATTGGTTAGTTGGCCCAGTGGGCCCAGTGTGTTGTGATTGGTTAGCTGGCCGAGTGTGCTGTGATTGGTTAGCTGGCCTAGTGTTTTGAGATTGCTGGCCCAGTGTGTTGTGTTTTGTTAGTTGGCCCAGTGGGCCCAGAGTGTTATGATTGGTTAGCTGGCCCAATGTGCTGTGATTGGTTAGCTGGCCCAGTGTGCTGTGATTGGTTAGCTGGCCCAGTGTGTTGTGACTGGTTAGCTGGCTCAGTTTGTTGTGATTGGTTAGCTGGCCCAATGTGTTGTGATTGGTTAGCTAGCCCAGTGTGTTGAGATTGGTTAGCTGGCCCAATGTGCTGTGATTGGTTAGCTGGCCCATTGTGTTGAGATTGGTTGGCTAACCAATCACAGCACACTGGGCCAGCTAACCAATCACAACACACTGGGCCCACTGGGCCAACTAACCAAGGAGGGGCGTTACATTTCCCGAGCATGCGCTAAGCACTGCCAATCACACCACACTGGATAGTTGGCCCAGTGGGCCCAGTGTGTTGTGATTGGTTGGCTGGCCCAGTGTGCTGTGATTGGTTAGCTGGCCCAGTGTGCTGTGATTGGTTAGCTGGCCCAGTGTGTTGAGATTGGTTAGCTGGCCCAGTGTGTTGTGATTGGTTAACCGGCTATTTAAATGAGGAACATTATGACTTCATAAGATCCAGAAAAGTGTGTTGTAATCAAAATCCAGTGTAGCCAGTCAACTACATGGAAAAATGAGAAGCTGCATTGCAAAAATTGAGAGTCTGCAAAGTAAAAACACATTTTAATCTTTTTTTTTTTTTTACTTAAGAGTACTATTTTGGATTGGTTTCATTTTAAAACTATTTATTTCTTATAATTTATTTTTTTAAGGATTTCATTCATTATTATTAATTTTTTTTTTTATAAATGTATGAACCCCCATCCTGGCATTGTGCGTGTTTTATTGCTATTTTTATTTATTTATTTATTTTAATGTAGAATTAAATGCCGGTTAATCATAATTAAAAATAAAAAAGGCTGGGTGTAATGCATGGGTAACTGTAAATCACATTTATTGTTTTATTATTCTCTAAAATCTGTAGTGAATAGTCTGTCTATGTTTATTCGGTCAGAGACTGTTAACTAACCTGAGTTGTTGGTGTACTGTTAAATGAGTCATGACCTACCTGTTTTCAGTTGGTATTCTCAGATGAAAGATTCCCGTAGTTGTTGACAAGATTTAAAGATTTCAGTGGCCTTTAGTTTTACCAATATCTTTTTTCCATCTGAAAATCAGCTTGGCCTGCTGACCCCTTGTGGCTTTATACAGTATTGTACAGTATCTGTAGCAAAAGAGCTGAAATGTGTCAAAACCTGACAAAAGGACTGAAGACTATTTGGATTCAATAAAATACAAAGATTATGTTTTTTTATGTTTTGTTTGTTTGTTTTTTGTGACACTTAAAAAAACTTGCTTTTGTAGCGGGGGACGGGTAGGACTAACGTACTGAGAATAAGGTGAACTATCCTCACGGCTGCTGTTAAGAAGAGTCTGTTAAGAGGAGACGGTCAACGCCAACTTTATAATGAATAATATTAATGTATCAAATCTATCTATTATTGTAACTATTTAGACATCAGTTTTTTGTCCACCGGCAGGAGGAGCTATATCAAATGAATATCGTTCTCAGGATCAGACCAAGGATCAGACAGTCCGTTTGCCCTCTTTTTATCCCTCCTGTGAATCTACTATTGCTTGGCTCAGGTCATGAATATTAATTACGCAACGTGAGGCAGGCTCAACTGATTCGCTGAAAGAAGGCTCTGGACTGGCGTAGAACGCTGCGAACCAACGAATCCTCCTACGTTGAAAGGATTGGCTCATGAATATCAATTTGTTGCGTGACTGGACGCTCCAGGAAGGTTGCCAGGCTACGTCGTCGTGACCTTATTAATATTCATGAGTAGGAGAGCCTCCTCCATAGTAGGGTTGGTAATTACGAGACCCTCCCACACTCTCGTTCTCCGTTCATCGGCTGTCTGTCCTCAGCATCCCCTCTATGGTCATGGCGTGTGTGGATGCTGCTGATGCGGCGGTGCCCGGGGCCTAACACACCGGTTACGGGGAAACCCGCGAGACTAAGACGTCAGGGGCTGGGCAGTATGAGCCTTTCCTTTAACAACCGGTCACCGGATCACTACTGTATCTCGTGTCAGCTTGTTTGCTTGCGTGAAACCGAGGAATGAAGTGCTGCAACCATGATGCAAGGTAAAAATCCACATTGGGCCCTTAAATTCATCGCTGTCTGTTGATATTATTTATTAGCATGCTAATAGTCTCTAGCCGACTGTACTGTGTATGACATTCAAATGCTGCACATGCTTGTTTTGGTGTCTGTCTCCTTGAAGGAGGTGAAGGATTATGTGTCTCACGTTGTATGGCTAGTGTGTATGTATGTTTGCACCGTGACACACACAAACATCATGATGGCACAATTAAATTTAGGTTATATTTTAAAGGCGGTTTGCACATGTGGTCCAGTGTACAAGGGATATGTAACTCCCATGTATATCTGCCATCAGTATATACGTGTGTGTGTCTTTGCACTGTGGTCTACAGTCCCACCCTCATGATCTCATAGGTCATGATTTATTTGCTCTAATTTAAAGGGATAGTTCATCCAAAAAAATTCCAATTTATTAATTTATAATCCCAATTTTACAATTTTTTTATTTTTTTTTGTTATTCCAAACCTGTATGATTTTGTTCCTTCTGGGACACAAATGTAAATTTTGAAGAATGGACTGGTCATTCTTTCCATGTGATTGCAATGAATGGGAGCCATAGCTTTGAAACTTCAGAAAGTACACAAAAGCATCATAAAAGTGCAATATACACTACCCTTCAAACATTTTGGGGTCAGTAATTATTTTTAAAGAAATTATACTTTATTAATCAAGGATGCATTAAATTGATCAAAAGTGACAGTAAAGACTTTTATATTGTTCTATTTCAAATGCTGTTCTTCTTCTGAACTTTCTACTCATCATCAAAGAATTCACAGTGTCACAGTTTCCACGAAAAAAAATATTATTGCTATAATATTATTTTCATCATTGATAATAAGAAATGTTTCTTGAGCATCAAATTATCATCAGAATGATTTCTGAAGGATGAAGTAATAATGATGTTGAAAATTCAGCTTTGCCATCACAAAAATAAATTACATTTTAAAATATATTCAAATAGACAGTTATTTTAAACTGTTATAATATTAGGGTTAAATTTGAATGTTATCATTATCGGCCCGATAATAAAATATGGCCGATATATTAAAGCAAATAAATAATGGATTATTTCCTTCAGCTTAAACACTTCAGATGCGCGCTGTTCGCCATGACATTTTTTTGAATTGCTTGAAATATAATTGGAATCACTTAAAAATGGAAAATACAGTTAAGTGCAACATGCAAGTCGGGCTACATAAAATTATAATGAGAACATTATTTATATAAATAATTTATAAAAATTATAATGAGAACATCATTTATATAAATCATTTATAAAAATATAATGAGAACGTTATTCATACATCATATAAATTTAGATTTATTGGTCATTATATCGGTTATCGGCTTTCAAATGTAAATAATTATCGGTTTAATCAGGCAAATTTTCATATCGGTGCATTCAGAATATTACTCTTTTACTGTATTTTTGATCAAATAGATGCAGCCTTGTAGAGCAGAAACAAAAACAAAGCAAAATTGACTGACTCTAAAGTAGGATCTTTTTGATGAATTATTTCTCAAAACCAGTCTGGTTGTGAGCCGAGCCACTCATCGGTGATCACTGGCAGGTGCATGCTGGTTAGAAATAACTAATGATTTGTTTATAAATTGAACAGATCCAGTTTTCAACTTATTGACAATGATTTGGTTATAGTGGTTCTCAAGTTAACATCTCACTGGATTATCAGTGAATAACAGCTTGAATTTTAATTTGTTTCTCACAATAAACTATTGAATCATTCAGAAGACTTCGAATGTAGTCGTGTATGTGTTATGTGGACCACCATTATGATCAGTTTGTATCATTTTTGAAGCCTGAAAGGTAGTTTTCAAATTGAAATTGATTATCATTGCAATCTATTATTTAAAAAGAGCAACCAGTACTTTCTCAAAACTTCTCCTTTTGTGTTCTTCAGAAGAACGAAAGCAATATGGGTGTTAAATAACATAAGGGTGCGTCTTCATTTAATGGCATTGTAGGATTCACATGTCTAAGGTAGTGAACAAGCTGCAATCAGTTCCATCTCCTTGTATTTGTTTTGGGATAACTCGACTTAATTGCCTCATTTTTAGCCAAGCGGAGGAGGAAATGTCAGCTTTTCCCTAGAGGTCTTCTAGACTAGAGGCATGATGGGTTAACAGTGAACACACATCTTGAGACCCGCAAGCAGTCCCGCATGCCATCATGCCAAGATCTCCAGGCTATAAATTCTGTTGCTTTGTCTGTATCGACTATGCCAGTCCTTGGGGATGCTTAGGTCTACGTACAAGTCAATTGGCAGATTGGGGAAAATATTGAAAAATAAGCTTTAGATCTTGCATATTTGTTGTTGCTGACACCCTTGCAGCAGTAAATGCCTCATTGCAGATTTGCTCATCCAGGTCAAAGATGCACCGTGAATCCCAGTACAGAGTTGCATGGGTCATTTGCCTTGATGTAATAATAATAATTAAGTTTCATCATTTAATTCAGTCCACTCAGAATGAGGTCTTGGAAAAAAAAAATGTTTTTGCATATTTTAGTTGCAGATGTTGAAATATTTATGAAAAATGTGTCTCCCCTGGTGACTGAATTCAGTGTTTGTTTTTCAGATGTTAGCGAATTTAGCTCTATGTTTAACTTAGCACTGCATGTTGCTTTGTGTTTGGGTTTGTGGATGACAAGCAATTGCAGCAGGTTGATGTTGTACTTCCATCAAAATGACGTTCAACTTCAACAAATTCTTGTATAATTATCATCATACATTATTTATTTATTTATTTATTTATTGAGAGAATACAGGGAATATTTTTACTTTAGTACTCATGGATTTAGCAAATGCTCCAGTCCAAACCCAGCTAACAGGAAATGTTCTCTTGGCTAAATTCTGGGAATGTTTCTTTCAAAGTTATGAACAAATGTTCTTACAGTAATGTTAATAGAATATTCGTTCAAAGTTATAGGTCTTTATAATGTTCTCAAAACTTTAGCACAAAAATTGTTTATATATTGTTCCTGGAATGTTTTTTTTTTTTCGGAACCATTTTAATTGGGTGTTCATCTAACAATCCTAATGTTGTTACTTGTTTCAGAACGTTCAGAGAACATTCAAAAGTAACGTTTCCACAACTTTAAAGGTTCACTGTGTAACATTTACAAAATGTACATATAATAAGTAAGTACATCATGAATTTATCTTCCAAACTGTGTTTGGAAATTTTGTCTTATCCTTAATCACTATGGTATGTCTACAATTATTGTTGGGGGATTTCATTAATTAATAAAAATTTATCTAAATTTTAACATTTTAATCAAGCTTTGAAATGCAATAAAGTTAAAATTTAGCAATTGATTTACAACAAAACATTCAAACATCTTGAAAAGAGATTTTTGTTAGCTGGGAAGTATCTTGAAGTCCTTTCAAGCTGTACGTAATAACGCACAACACTCAAAAGATTAAGTTTCAGGACTATATACAAAAATTTTAAATTATATACTGTACATATACAGGTACATTACCATCCAAAAGTTTGAGGTCAGTAAGTTATATTATAAATATTATTTTGGCAGCACGACTGTAATAAAAAAAAATATTTTAAAAACTTGAGCACCGAGAAAAATTAAAACTTGAGCACCGAGCCAGCATATTAAGGATCATGTTACACTGACTGGAGACTGTTATTTTAATAAAATATATCAAAATGGAACAATCTTCTTAAAATGTATAAATTAAAATATTTCACCATATTATTGTTTAACTGCAGAAATAAATTTAGCCTTGGTGAACAAAAAAAGACTTATTTCAAAAATCTTACCGACCCCAGAATTCTGAAGAATATCATAAATAGATATCATCAAGACTGATGTTATTTTTCTTATAACATGTTACACTAGACTAGAGGAACTGTGTATTATTTGGTTACTGACTTTGAACATGAATTTAACAGGACTGAAAAAGCGTACCCGAAAGGCCTTCGGGATACGGAAGAAGGAAAAGGACAGTGACTCCACGTGAGTAAGAGCAGTCAGTGGCATCAGCTCTGCACAGATCTCTACAGGATATTGTGATGTGCTCACTGGTGTCTGTGTAGAGCTGGCCACATTGGCACAGCATAGTTTTTTTGTGATTAGAGTGAATTGCTTTCTATAATGCTTATGAATTGCTAAGACTTGGCTCAGTGTAATTTTGTCGAATGTTTTTTAGTAGCAGACCCAGTCTTTTACTATTTGCATAAAGTCTGCCCCACTTTGCAGCTTATTTTTCTGAAGAATTGCTAATTTAGACATGAAAAGATTTTACTTTTACTACTTTCACAAATTTTACTAACATGTACAATAGACCAACCAAGTTAGTTGTGTTTTCATGCAACGCAGTGGTTCTTTCAGCCTTTTTGACTCCAGGGCTTTTACATTATCCACAACAATTTTCAAAGGACACATAACTTTTCCAGTTTTACATGATTTACTGGATAAGGGTTAAGGATAAATAAAGTTTTTAAATGTATATATTTTTTAAGAATAATAGGACGGTGGCCGAGAGAGCTCAGCATCATGTAACTGAAGAAAAAAAAAACACCAGCAATTTTAGTGTTTTAACAAAACACATGAGCTGCAAATTCACACAATGCAACCAGAAATGTGCTGCAAATACTCACAACACACATGGTGTTAAAACAAACAAAAAACTCACCTTTCAGGTCATTGTCAACACCACTGACGAGGAGATATTGAACAAAAAGCCCAGCCAGATTCATCACTTGTTGGGTTCCCCTTAAACTTCCCGTTGTGGTCTGTGCAATTTGTAGCATGTTTCTGTATTTGGCTGCGTTTTGAGTATTTGCAGAACTTTTGACATCAAACTGATGATGATGTTTTCAAAATTTTCTGGTGCTTTTTCTATTTGCACATTCAGTTGCAGCATGTTGAGCTCTCTCGGACATCATATAATAACTACAGTGCCAGAAATCACAGATTTTTTTTAAAGACAGTGTGAATCCGTTTTTTAGTTTTTAGTAGTAGATTTTTAATACTTTTGGGGTTTTTACTGCTTGTTATTGTCTTATTTTAAAGGGATAGTTCACTTTGAAATTAATTTTTGCTATGTTTTAGCTTACCTCAAGGGCATCCAAGATGTAGGTGTCTTTGTTTCCGCAGTAGTCTCAATTTTGGTATTTTTAGGTCAAACCGTTCTTGTCTGTCAGTCATATAATGTAGGTCTTTGGTCACCACTTCAAAGAGCATGCACAGAGAAGTCCAGAGTAAACATGATTTAATGACTCGTAAATGTAAGTACACATTGATGGCATAAGACACGAAACGAGTGGTTTGTGTGAGAAAACGTCTCGGTTGCGTATATAATCCCCATTCCCTGAGTACAGGGAACCACCTGGAGATGGAGTCACTATTCTCCTGGCAGGGGAGGAAACCGTGGAAGCTTGTCTGCCACACGGTTGAGCTCTCCTGGAACATGAGTGGCACGAAGCGACCTCAGATGCTTCTGACTCCATAGGAGGAGGGGGGAGGCGAGTCGCGACATGCGGCGGGAGCGTAGACCACCTTGTCGATTGATGTACGCAACGGTCGCAGTGCTGTCCGTACGGACAAGTACGTGCTTGTGTTTGAGAAGCCCCTTGGGGCGGCACAAAACTAAGCATACTGCTTGCAAAGCAGTCGATGTGCCAATGCAGCTGGGGCCCCGTCAACAGACCCAAGACTGCATGCCCTTTGTACGTGGCCCCCCCACCCCATAGCAGAAGCATTTTTGAAAGCCACAGCATGCCTGGAAACCTGGACTTGGGTCACTCCGGTCCGTAGAAACGCAGGATCCGACCATGGGTAGAAGGTTTGGTGACAGTTCGGGGTTATTTTGACCCGGAACGTGCTGCTCTGCCACGCCCACCTCGGGACTCGATCGTGAAGCCTGTGCTGGAGCGGTCTCATATGTAACAGGACGAGTGGCGTTACTGCGGCTGCCAAATGCCCCAGTAGCCTCTGAAATTGTTTCAGTGGAACCGCTGTCCTGCCTCGAAAGAACCTGAGGCAGGTGACTGGACGTGTTCCGCTGTGAGGTGGTTTGGGTCCAACTCCATACCGAGATAAGAGATCTTCTGCACGGGGCAGAGTTTGCTCTTGTCCCAGTTGACCTTAGGCCCCAACTGGCTGAGGTGCCCTAACACCTTGTCCCTGTAATCACACAACACATCTCACAAATGAGCCAGAATGAGCCAGTCGTCGAGATAGTTGAGAATGCAAATGCCTTGTTCTCTCATGGGAACAATGGCCACCTCTGCGACTATCGTGAAGACGCGGGGCGACAGGGCCAGCCCGAAGGGTAGGACTTTGTACTGATATGCTCGACCCTCAAAAGCAAACCGTAGAAATGGTCTGTGTCAAGGAAGAATCGAGACGTGAAAGTACGCGTCCTTCAGGTCGATCGCTGCAAACCAATCCCGGGGACAGAAGCTTTCGAAAATGCACTTCTGCGTGAGCATCTTGAACGGGGGTTTGTGCAGGGTCCGATTCAAAACTCGCAGGTCCAGGTTTGGCCGCCTTTCCCCACCGATACCCACCGCCTTTCTTGGGTACAATGAAGTAGGGCCAAGCACTAGCCAGGCTTCCAGGTACTGACTCAATAAGCCCACCCGAACCACCAGCGTACCCGCGGAGGGGCAGCGAGGTGGAAGGCAGGGACCCGGCTCCAATGGCAATGTAGCCACTTAAAGCCTGTCTGGGCGTGGAGCTCGCCACTGACCTGCTTCCACTGGGGGGCAGAGGGCAGAGAAAACCTGTGTGCCCATCAGTCTCGACCGAGGATGACCTGGAGGAGAAGGTAAAAACTGCTCTTTTATTGAAACTTTGGGTACCGCTGGAGGGGGAGCTGGGGCCTGAGGACGGCCTCGGCGACAGGGAGCCACCGGAGGCTCTACAGCAACAGTAGACGGGCCCACAGCAGCCCACCTCCTGTGCAGGACGTGCCGTATTGCCTCCGACTGCTTCTGGGCGGCGGAGAACTCCTGGGCTAAGTTCTCCACCGTGTCTCAGAAGAGGCCGCCCTAGGATACGGGGAAGTTGAAAAGTTTTCTTCCTGCATATATCCGCCAGGGTCAGCCACAGGTGGCGCTCCTGGACCACCAAGGTGGACATCGCCTGACCCAGTGAACCTACGGTGACTTTCGTCTCCCGGAGGGCGAAGTCTGTCGCCGCACACAGCTCCTGCAGCAGGGCTAGGTCGCTGTCCAGGGTGGTGAGGAACGAGGAGCGAGGTTGTCTCTGCCTGTACGTCAGAGGGGCCAGCCAAGACTTCCTCAGCTCCTCATGCACTTCGGGGAAGAAAGGGACTGGAGCGGGCTGTAGGGCAACAGCACGGCCCACCCTGAGACACCAATCATCTAACCGCGAAGGTTCGGGACTCGGTGGAGGCTTCTACACGAGCCCAACATTCGTGGTCGCCCGTTCAAGCATAGCGGGGGGACCATTTCCGGGTCCGGCTCAGCTGACGCTAGGGGGGCAGGGGGGCACCTGAGGGGGGCAGCCCCACTGAGTCATTGCCAGATGACCGCTCTTCTTCCGATGTAGCCGAAATGAACAGGCAGACAAACTAGATCGAGAATTATCTGAAGGGTCTCCCCCATGTTTCAGGGTTCTCAGTCTCGAACGCAGCATCGTCAGAGTCATATTCCCGCAATGAGAACATGACTCATCCACAAACACTGCTTCAGCGTGTGCTAAGCCCAGACAAGAGAGACAGTGTTTGTGGCCATCTTCCTGTAACGCAAGGGTGAGACAACAAGACATCCTGAAAATGACGCGAACACACCCGTGAAGCTCTTTTAGGGAAAGGCGAAAAAGAAAAGTGCTCTTTCACACGCTGAGGAATCACCGTGTCAGACACGAGGAAACTGCAACTCGCGCGTGCTGCACTCAGTCGCGATGACTGCTTGAAGCGCCGTCACACCAGCAAGGTTAGAGTTTCCTTTTCTCCCTTTGAAGACTCGTAGCTTTCTCTTGTAAAACAGTAGACCAGCACTCTGTTGAGGCTCCGAAGCAAAAAGCACCAATGTTTGCAATGTTTACTTCCGCCCTTTATACCCACACTGGTAGGTGGCTCGCGGAATGCAAATTTTGCATGCCAATTTCATTGGCTCGTTTTTATTTCTCTCGAAGGCAGTTGGCTCCCTAGCGTGATCTCAATTCGTCAGGGAACTCCCTGACGACACTGAGTTCCCAGGACGAAAGGGAACGAACAGTATTTATTTTGTTTTTACCTCTTTTAACTACAGCCACGTCCAAGTGATCTGAGGGCACGGCGCTTTGGTCTGCGCAAGCACCGGAAGTGATCTTCTTGAGCGTGTGTACGTCACTCATTGTTTACAAAGAACAAAGATTGTAGGTAAGACGGCTATAAAATAGTACTAATTTGCGTTTATCCAGGATGTTTAAACCGTCATATGTTCGCACAAACTCTTCTTCACTTCCGAAAAGATTACTTCCGGTGCTCGCGCGGACCAAAGCGCCCGCCCCCTCAGATCACTTGGACGTGGCTGTGGTTACAAGAGGTAAAAACGATATAAATACTGTTCGTTTTCTCACACAAACCACCCATTTCGTGTCTTATGCCATCAATGTGTACTTACATTTACGAGTTATTAAATCATGTTTAATTTGGACTTCTCTGTGCGTGCTCTTTGAAGTGGTGACCATAGACCTGCATTATATGACTGACAGACAACAACAGTTTGACCTAAAAATAACGAAATTGAAACTACTGCGGAAACAAAGACACCTACATCTTGGATGCCCTTGAGGTAAGCTAAAACACACCAAAAATGTATTTCAAAGTAAACAATCCCTTTAAATAATTTTAAGCCATCTTGAGGCCCCCTAGTGGGCCCCGGCAGGTCAATCAAAAATGTACATTAATAATAGACCTGTACTTATCATACTTATATACTTATCATTCTGTCATATATCTTTCATCTCTTTCAGTGGATCACCAGACAAAGAAAAATCTGTGAGTACAACACAATCCATGAAATTGAATAAACTGTCTACAAACTTACTTTAGGTAGTGTTGTGAATTATTATTTCATTGTGAACGTACGCATGTTTTATTCCCAGAAAAAATCCAATGGTGCACCCAATGGTTTTTACGGTGAGATCGACTGGGATCGATATGTAAGTAAATCTCTCTGAATGCTGATTTTTTTCATACGGTCTTTATAGTGAATGTAATGTCTTGTGTGTTAACAGAACTCTCCTGATGTGGACGATGAAGGGTACAGCGTTAAACCTGGAGAACAAGGGGGAAATATCCTTTAAGTCTTCACATGCATATTGATCTGTACTCATTTCCCATGTTTTCTTTCCATCTTCATCTTTTCACTGTATAAAAATAAAGAGAAAAAACTATGGAATTCCATAACAAAATTCACCAGCTTCAAAGGTCAAGATGGTCTGCTCCTCCAGTGAGTCAGAGGGAGAGGGAGAGGAGGAGCCTGGGAAGAAGTTTAAGATCAAGATCAAGCCATTGGCAGCAAACAGTGGAACCTGCACAGTATCTACTATGGATGAGCTGAAGGCTTCAGTGGGGACGCTGGCCATATCTCCTTCACCTCTGGTTCGTCTTTAAGATTTACTTCACACGGCTGATGTCCCATAATAATATTCACATTCAGACATTGAGATGATTTCCTCTGTTCTTCTGTTTCCTCACACAGAGAAAGAGTCCGGTAAGCAAGTGTTTTTACACTTCTGTCTGGTTTTAACTTACAGTAGCTCTCAGGATTATAATGGAAAATGGTTAATCCATCAAAAGTGCTATACTGGAAAAATAGTCATTAAATCAGCAATGCTTGAAATGTATAAATAAACTTGACTTAAGTTTTAAGACTTAATGAGTAGTTCACTTAAAAAAAAAAACATTTGCTGATAATTTACTCACCCCCATGTCATCCAAAATATGTCTTTCTTTCTTCAGTCGAAAAGAAATGAAGGTTTTTGATGATAACATTCCATGATTTTTCTCCATATAATGGACTTTACTGGGAACCAAACGGTTCAAGGTCCAAAAGACAGTTTCAGTGCAAACTGCAAACTGTTCAAAGGGCTTTAAATGATTCCAGACGACGAGTTTGCACTGAAACTGTCTTTTGGACCTTGAACCGTTTGGTGTCCAATGAAGTCCATTATATGGAGAAAAATCCTGGAATGTTTTCATCAAAAACCTTAATTTCTTTTCGACTGAAGAAAGAAAGACATGGACATCTTGGATGGCATGGGGGAGAGTAAATTATCAGCAAAAGTTTTTTTTAAAAGTGAACTTCTTTAACAATGAGCAATATGTCTTAATCATAAATTCCAAAGCTACTGACAATACATTGTTTTCAAGTTATATAAACCCATAAACATGCTGTTGCTAGTAACATTTTGTACACTTTGAGTCACAGAAATGCATTTATAATGCATTAATGCTTTCATGTATAATGAAGAAGTGTGCTTCCACCTGGAAAGATCCATCACGCATGTTTTCCTCTTCTAAATATTGTTTTTGTTAATAGTACTGATCTGTTACTCACTTTCTGACCAGGTCTGTTCTTTCTCCTTTTTTGCTGATCTCAGAGACGAAGTCCAGTAAGTATGGTCATTGTAAATGTAATAGATAAATATTACCAAAATGTACTGATGTTGCTATTGCATGCGCTATAGAAGCTGTGTTACACTGAACATTTCATTGTGATGATGCTTCATGGTGTGTTACTGCTGTGCTGACAGCTTGATTCCCTCATGGATTAATAAGAGTGAATCATTAGATTCTTGATATCATCTGCAGCATCAGCATGTTGGCTGTGAATGTCAGATGGAGTTCAGTGTTGGCACTTAGACTCTGTTGTCCATTGCCCGAAGATGTTTGCCGCTCATCAGTTGTGTCAGAGAAGCTTCATTAGTTTTCAATGATAAATTTAACTGATGGAACACAATGTCCAGGTGCCATATAAAACCTGTTATCTTGCATGATTGGGCTGTATATTCAGTGCGGCGGTAGAAATGTGCCAAGGGGTAGAGATTTAGCTATAAGTATTTGCTTAAAGATAATATGTGGTCGCAGACGCATATTTCCACTTTTGACTGTGGCCTGTCTAATCAGAATTTACTATAGATTTCTAATATTAGTTCTTTTGGTTAGTCTCTTTTATTTGGTCATTTAAAATTTGGTTATATTGCTCACCTCTAACTTATATCTATTGTTTAAAAGTATTTTTATTTAATTTGTTTTAAGAATTTAATACTTTTGTTTAGCATCGATGCTTAAAAGTAATCAACAGTGACTATTAAGACTTTTATAATGTTACAAAATGCTGTTTGAGCTATCTATTGATCAGAGAATCCTGACAGCAAATATTTCACAGTTTCAACAAACATAAAGCAGTTTTCAACATTGATAATAATAAGACATGTTTCCTGAGCAGCAAATCAGCATATTAGAATGATTTCTGAAGTATCGTGTGACACTGAAGACTGAAGTAATGATGCTGAAAATTCAGCTTTGATCACAGGAATAAATTCAATTTTAATATATATATATATATTAAAATAGAAAACTATGGAAGCTTGTTCGCAATTCTGACTTTATATCACTCAATTTTGACTTAACTTGCAGTTGCATATTATAAAGTCAGAATTGGGAGTTTATATCTAATTTATAATTCAAATATGACTATATTTCACACAATTCTGACTTTCTAACTCACAATTCTGACTTTAGAACTGACAGTTGTGAGTTTATATCACAGAATTCTGTGAAAAAGTGTTTGCAAGATGTTAACTATACAGTACGTCCACATAAGAGACTTCTTTAAAGATCTTACCAAACCCAGTTTTTTGGAACGGTAGTTTATTAAATCTTCCCAAGCACCTAGGAGATTAATTTTTGGTCGTGTTTTATAGTAATATGTGTGTGAATATCAAAGAAAAGAGTTTCTATCGTATCATATAAATGTGGCATATAGTGTTTGTGGTCCTTGAAATGTCTTTGTTATCTTCTTCTGTGACCTTTGTTACAGTGCCAGATGAAACGAAACCTATCAAGTGAGTGTTCGTTTGGAAATATTGACTTGACTTGTATTGTCGTATCACTCCAGGTTGTTGATCATGGTTGTCACATTTAAATAGTTGTCTTTTTTGCATATTCCAGGTGAGGAGATTGCCAGACCAAGACGATCTACTCCAACACCCACGACAACCCCAGGGCCTGGTTCAGACCCGCCCAGGTTAGTGTGCCGTCATCACCAATCCTTATGGAACTTTGTGGTTCCGCTCACTATTAAATTATTCATTTTTAATTGAGTTAACCTTAACCTTTCTAAATTTCACTGCCTGAATAGTTATACTGAATATAAAAAATTTTACCCTTGGGTACTAATAAAGACACCTTGACCTTGAATACTCTTGGTATATTTTGGACTTGTTGTTTTTCTTCTGTCTCGCATATATAGAGAATACACAGCAGCGTTTTACGGCTCACCGTTTGAGACCAATTTTGAAGCACACAACTCAGAAGGTAACGCTTTCCATTATGGAAAGTTACATTCATACTTCTAAATAACCTTACATTGCTGAGTTATTTTATGTGGCAAAATGTTATACTGTATGTGGTTTTCAAGATTAACCTGTTAACTGTCAGTGTCTCAGTAGCAGGACTCTTGGCACACTTTTTTATTGCCTTTTTTCTCCACCACAAATTTTAGTAATCATCATAAATTAGGCAAAGCTGCGCCAATATGCTATTTTAAATGTTCCTAATTTTGATTTCAGAGGTCTCCTACAATAGATTTAGCATCAAAGGTAAAAAATATATATATTTTTTTCATATTATACATTTGCAGCATTACCTTATTCCTCAAAGAGCCTAAAAGCCGTTTACTCAAAGATTCAGAGTCTTTCAGTGATTATACTCTGCTTTGATTGGTCAGATGGTCCAGTCTGTTGTGATTGGTTGACTTCTTTTAGCATGTGCCAGAAACAAAACTCCCATTACCATTCTTGAATTTCAGCTCCAGACACTTCCTCAGCACTTGTACACAAATTGTTACAATTGGTTTTTCCATATCGATTCCAGCGCGAGTCCTTTTCAAATGCATGCAAAGTGTATTTGCTGCGCCGAAAACAGCGTCTTCTCGACGTGTAGACAACACAAGCCAAACTCTACCAGACCTCAACTACAACTACAGTGTTTGTAGGCAGCCAGTGAAGACCATAGGTTGGCACTGTACAAATTTGTTACGTTACATTGGTTTGTAACATGAAGTAAGACGACTTGTTTCAGCAGTTCAGAGTCGATTCTTTATTTTAAGAGAAAAAATCACTTTATTCGTCTTCTGCTTAGATCTTTAAAACTAAAAGGGGCACTTTAAACACTCAAAAGTCATCCTACTGTATGAATACCGTCTTGAAGTTGGACATTGCGTCACCATGGATATGGTACATTGAAACCTTTTAGCAGGCTTGATTTGTGTGATATCAACTTCAAACATGGTTAGACATATGACATTGATTTTCCAGCCATTATAGAGTCCAAATTATTTTGTAAAATATATATTTTGTATAAAAAAATGTTCCAGTTTGGTACATTTACTTTACAATAAACTCTTTACATTTCTACAACTTTTTACACTATTATTTTTGCAAGCTACTGTACTTTCACTTCTGCAATAATCTGCTGGAGTGTTTCCTTTAAAAAGGAGTGTTTCCTTTAAAAAGAAACTTTCGCCTGTATTCTAGGATTCATAAATTACAACCATTCAAGTTCAAATCTATGCTCAAAAAGGGGATGACAGTTACCAGGTTAATCAGACGTTTATCAGAAAAATGTTCTTTTTCTTGCTTTGCTTTGTCTTATGAAACATTTGTGTTGGTCAAGGATTGATTTGATGGGCGTTTCTTTCATTAATGTTAATGGCAGTGTTCCTGGCTGAGCCGGAGCCGTGGTGTCAGTCCGCTTCTCTCTCCACCTGTGTTCTGAGCAGATCTCTGCCCACTGCAGGTACAGCTCCACATTTATCATCTCACTCTACTTCCTGCACCTCATGGATAGGCGTGTCAAATGTCCAAAATGTCGACAACGTTGACACTAAAGTAGTTCCTAATGAAAGGGATTCAATGCTACAAAGCATCATATTTCATAGCTCACCTTAGAGTGTGACTGGATCTACAAGATCAGCCAGATAAACACCATCTACTAGCACCATGACGTGATTAGGATTTGAACAGGTCACACAAAAAGCCAAGAATCAGCTTCATGCTATGAGTCAAAATCATCTTTAACTGTCTTTATTTAGTGTTTTTCATCAAATCATTTAAAATATGATAGTAGGCAAGCAGAGAGAGAGTCCATTATAGAGCCCATTATAATCAGTGATGTTGCGACACAACAAATCCCTGGCACTATTTGGCCAAACTACCTTAAATTTTGACGGGAAACCGCAGGGAGACTTCAAAGCTTTGTATTCTTTGATTAGCGCTTCTCAAGTATAGGAAGATGATTGGTGAATGTTGTGTTTTTAAAAGCATGTTAAAGCGACCCAAAGTAAGTGACACAGTGAACATCTCACACGTTATACGATGAGTTCAAGTGACAAAGTAGCTGTTTGCTGTTTGAATGTGGATTGTTACTTTGTTTTACAAATTTACAGTCTTTATTCAGCTCAATATTCAGTAAGGTGGTACTTCTTTCCGAACATGCCCTGTCAACTGTCTTTTCAGTTCCGCCTCCACTTCCTCCAAAGAACATTCCTGTGACTCCACCTGGACGCAGCTCTAGCTCTGTAGAATCCTCCGGTACGTACTGACTGTTACAATTTAGCATCCAAAAACATGTCATTTCATTCTTTTCAAAGAACTGAGTTCCAGTTCTCTGAGTCTTTCTCTAGAATACTTAAAAAATCCAAAAATATGAGTGTTTTTTGTGCTGGTACTTTTATTGGTTTAGGTCTGTTGTGGACAGCTGGCTCCCAAAACTTTTCATAATCTTTTTTCTGTGTGGTGTTGCAGTAGTGACCGGAATTAATGTTTTTATTCAAACTGATGAAATGATATTTCCCACCTTAAATTGATTTCCAGGGGCGTTTTACCATTTATAAAGGACATTTTTTTCTAACCTTATTAGATATATGCATCATAGTTTGTCAAATTCTTAGATTTGATCAGTAAATTCAATTAGAATAGTAAGACACTATAGGCTGTTACCAATCAAATGAAATCAATATCAACAAAATCGTTTTTGCACTGCAGAACTGCTACAGAAGTTGCATCTAAAACAGCATTTGCACTGAAATGGTTTATAATCGCTTGAATGTTTAAATTGGCAAGAAAAAAAAAACGTGCAAATGGTAAACTTTCCCTCGATGAGGATCAAACTTAGCAATTAATATGTGAATCACATGCGTGCCGAACCATGGGGCTTAGTCCGTACGGATCACTTCACTGCCATTCACTAATCCTCTCCTGTGGCCTCATGGGATAGAAGAGTGTCCATTATGTGTTGCTCAGAGACGCACAACAGTTTCATTGCAGCTTTGTTTGAAACTATTTTCATCTGTGAAATAGAGCAAAAAAACATTGTGTCTAAAATGTAACTCGATATTATTTTCTTGTTTATTGAACTGTTGTATAAAACGTTATTCAACGTTCATCAAAAGTCATTCTTGCCCCATATATTGAATTTCTGGGACATTCTAACTCTATTTTACTTGGCAAAAGTGAAAGTGTGCACTCTCAAGGCATGTTCTTGCAGTGAGCGACATAGTCAAATGCTTCAACATTGTTAAAACATCAATTATATACATATATATATGCAATACATATTGCACACCCCTATGTGTGGTGTTGGTGAAAGATGGAAGAGTATTTGACACTTGATTGTTGTTCTTTCCAAACAGGTTATTATAGCATGGTTCCTAGTGTCAGAGGACATGGATCAGCTTCGGCCTATCAGGATTCCTCATTATCTGACCCGGCCGCAGCGGCATTTATGCCTGACTTGGACTGTGTTTTCGGGCCTGTAGAGACGCCCAGGTCTGGATCAGATGTGGTGCAGTGCAGTTGGGTGAGCTTCAGCGAGGGCTCTCCCGCCAGACCTCCTCCACCAGATGAACCCGCCCCTTCCCCACCTCTGTCCTCTTCCCCTGCGGACTCGCCTCCGACCTCGCCCCTCCACCTGCCGCCTCCCGCCTCGCCCCCTCCCCCTCTCCACTCCATCCCGCCTCCAGATTCACCTCCACCACCACCGCCCTTAGACTCACCTCTGAGTCCCTTGGACCTTCCCTGCTGCTTTCAGCTCCCAGAGCCTGAGCTCAACCTAGAGTCCCCCGTGACCCCTGCCAGCCCTGGACTGCCCTTCCTGCCTGCGGACCACCCTCCACATGGAGCCATACCTTCTCCTCTCACCTTGAGAGACGACAGTAGAAGAACCCCCGACTTGGCGAGCATGAGGGACGAGTTTACTGTGTTTGGCACATCACCCAAAGACTTTGCAGCTGGAAGCTTCAGAGGAACCCCACCTCCACTGCCCCCTCCCACTTACAGGAGCGTGATGGGCTCCCCGGGGCCCGGCAGTGGTAAGTTAGCAGTTGTTACTGAAAGGGATACTCCATCCAAAAAGGAAAATTCTCAAGTCAGTTACTCTTACTGTATTCCAGTTGTGCAGTATATGACTTTCTTTCTTCAGATGAAGGCAAACATAGAAATAACCCTTCCTTTGAGTTCATATAATGCAAGTGAATGGGACCCCCAAAGTTGACTCTTTAACATGATTGTAATCCATACAACCACAGCTGATGAATCAATGTCTTCTGAAGTGGAATGATAGGTGCGTGTAAGAAATATACTATTTTAAACTTTTTAAACCATTACCTCCGGCCAACGGGTACAAGTTCATGCTTTATGTGAACATAACATATCCCTCTGTGCTTCTGTATCAGTTCTCAAGTCAGGGTGCACTTCACAACGCTCTCATGAACCCACATATGACTGGAAGCGATGGTTTTACAGTAATTAAAAAAAAAGGTCTTAATCTTTTTCTCATCTATTGTTTCGCTTTAGAAGACATTTATTTGTCTAATGTATTACCACCTAATAATCAGTTCCAACTTTAGAGGTCATTTGCAATATACAGACTCAAAGGCCATATACATTTGGGATGGCATGAGGGTGAGTAAATGACAGATTTTTATTTTTATTTTGGGTGGAGCATCCTTTTAAGAATGAAGAAAAAATAAAACTGGTGGAGTCTTACAATATTGAATGGAGAGTTTCCTAATGCTAAACCTGTCAGGTACAGAGCAGAATAGCTGTGAAGGGGTGAAGGTTTTATTAACAAGACCATAGACGGGGCACAAGGAGTGGTGAGGTGTAAAACAGTTCGAAGAGTAGGGCTGACGATATGATGACAGGTAAGGAGGATGACCTCTGAAACCAGTCCTGGGTAACGATGGGCTTGTAGAGAGCAGAAGAAGGGGTGAGGTGAGAAAGACGAGGCAGGAACTCAACAAACCAGAGGCTTGATCTCTTAGCTGTAGCACCAGTCTAGCTGCAATGCAGTGGTCAGGAATACTCAGGATGCAGGGCAGGGACAAATACAAGACTCACAATGAACTAGACAATACTAGACAATAGAATAATTAAATAGGAAATATAAAAATAAAGACTAAAACAGAACAATGACTAGTGAAGCAGAATAAAGTTACTGAAACTTGCAATCAAAAAAATAAAACAAAAGAACAAACTGACAGGGAACTATGATAATCGAGAGTAGAAATGAAATCAAAAGAGAAAAAAATAAAGACTAAAACTAACTAGAACAAGACTGGAAGGGAAAAAAAAGGATACACTGGAGCTGGAAAGATCAATATCACAAGAACTACGTTTAACCATATACATAAGGCAAACAGGAATAAACCACAAAGCACACAAAACGAACAATAGAAAATAAGTAAATTTTCTACAGCAAAAACACCAAAGAAAATAAGTAAAAAGGCTCAATATAAAGGGACCGGAGCAGAGGACCTTTCTTCTTTTAGCCGCATAAAATTTGAGTTCTATTAAATAATATCCTTGCATAGCATCCATGCATCATAAAAGTAATCCATACAACTCCAGTGGGTTAATAAATGCCTTCTGAAGCAAACCGATGGCTTTTTGTAAGAAAAAATACCATACAAATATAATTATATAAAAATTTAAATTTATATTTAAAACTATAATCACTTTGGCTGGAAGAAGAAACATATACACCTAAGATGGCTTGAGGGTGAGTAAATTATGGAATCATTTTCATTTTTGGGTGAACTGTTCCTTTAATAATAATATTAATTAATGAATGACAACACTCAAGTATTTCTGTGATAATAATCTGATTTTATGTTCTTAGGGCCGTCCTCTCCCGCACGTGCTGGCACTCCTCTGTCTGCTGGCAGCCCCATCCCGCCTCTTCCACCGAGACCATCATCACGACCAAAACTACCACCTGGAAAACCAAACCTAGCAGATCTGGTATGACTCTCTCCACTGCTGTGGAACATTTGAAGTCACCTCAAAAGAAGATGCCTAGTGGTTCTCAACACATTGTCAAAGACATTAGCCTACTGTAATTCTAGTAAATTACCATAAAATTACCAGAATTACACAAATAAGCTGTTCATACAAGCAACGGTCCTCTGGCTTTTTAGCACTAAAGGCATAGTTCCCCCAAAAATGAAAATTAGCCCATGATTTACTGGCCTGGCCTGAAGTCATCCTAGGTGTATATGACATTCTTCTTTCAGACAAATACAATCTGAGTTATATCAAAAAATGTCCTGGCTCTTCCAAGCTTTATAATGGCAGTGAAAGTACATAAAAGTGCATCTATACATCAAAAAAGTGCTCCACACATATCTGGGTGGTTAATAGAGGCCTTCTGAAGCGAAGTGATGCGTTTTGTGTAAGAAACATATCCATATTTAAAACTTTATAATGTAAAATAACTAGCTTCCGGTCAAAGGAACAAATGGATTCCACTTAAAAAGTAAAAAAAAAATGTTGGCTACTTCTGAGGGACAGGTATTGGGAGATGAACACACAAAATTAGTTTTGGCTCTTAAAAACACGAGATGCGCATATTAGTATTCAACTGCAGAGCTGCAATGCTGATTATTGGAAAAGAGCGTGACACGTTTGAAAAGTTGAGAGACATGGCGCTAAACATTATTTTTGAAAAGGTCCTGTTCACGCATGATCTCTAGAAGTGGCAATATAATATAATATAATATAATATAACATAGAAGTGGTAATATATTGTAGTAAAATAGTAAAATAAGTAAATAAAATAATTATAAACAACAAAAATAATTATATTCAATTCCATTAACTAAATATTTTAATGATTTGCACTTTTTTATAAACCAATGAATTTATATTACTTTTCTAGTTTGACAGTTTTATTTTTTACAAATAGCAAATTCATCCCCCCAAAATATTTTAGAGCTTCTCCAAAATTATATTTGCATTTGTTTATATATAAATTATATTCATTATTTAAAAACATTAATGACTTCCCAGGTCTAGAAATCACACATTTAATTCTTATATAAAAATGGCAGTTGTTAGGGAAACAAAAATAAGAAATGATTTCAGTTTACATCTTGATTAGTATCTGTTTTAGCTTAATCAGAATCTTTTTTTTATCTTATTTTAAATATTTTAAGTCGTCTCTTTGGTAGTGTGCTGAGGGCCCCTGTTTGAGAACCACTGGCCTAGGAAATGATTGCTTTGGTTGTTCTCACTAATTCTAAAGATCCAAACATTAAACTCAAATATTTATGGGTATTTATACCCATATACTGCTCAAAGACAACAATGTTTGCAATTGTTTATTAAGGGAGTGTGGACTAGGTGTAAAATTTATAATCCCTAGTTCAAGCTGTTATTTCTGTTTCTGCTCAGGCCCGTCCCTTCAGCCCCCCGATCCACTCCTGGAGTCCTCCACCCTTTGCTCCTCTGGCCAGAGCTGAGAGCACCTCCTCCATCTCTTCCGTCACCTCTGTGAGCGCAGCCTCCACACCTACACTAGGCCGAGAACTGAACCTCTCTGTGTCAGGTGGGCCACAACACAGATGTCCCAAGTCAGTTATCGCTGATTATACACAGTGTGAAGATGATAACCAGGCATAATGCCTTTTTCAGTTCAGTAAGTTGTGTGACCTTTAGATAAAATTAGATCTCCTTCTGTATTTCAGCATGTTCCAGAGGTCCTAGTCCTCTCACAATGGGACCCCAAGACACACTACCAGTGGCAGCCGCCTTCACGGAGACCATCAGCGCCTACTTTAAAGGAGCAGATCCAACTAGGTAAGCCTGCAGGGCATATTTTAAAGTCAGATTTTGAATTTAGCTGATGTTTAGTTAAAATTTGTTGAATTTAATGTTTTTCTCTTGTGTCTTACTGTGTGTTGTAGGTGTTTGGTGAAGATCACTGGTGAGATGGTGCTGTCTTTCCCAGCAGGGATCACCAGACACTTCTCCAGCCACCCCAGTCCACCAGTGCTGACCTTCACCATCAGCCAGTACAGTCAGCTGGACCAGGTCCTTCCCAACCCACAGCTGCTGTGCTGGTAATACAACACCTGCAACTAGTGAATGAATCGTTCATTTAATGATTGTCAACCCGTTTTAGAAATAGTTTGTAATCATCCCCCTATAAAGGAGAACTTTGCTTGAGAGTAGGGCACTTGGTAACTATTTCAACTTAATAAAAACGTTTAGAAATCATTTGAATGGTTCAGTAACCTGTTCTAGAGAGAATGGTGGCCCTCCACGCTCCCCCCAGCGTCCCCAGGCGGAAAACCAACCTTGCAACATGGGGACTAACGTCCTGGTAAGTTGGAAATAGAAGTCTCGTGAGAAGCAAGAATGAACGAGAACGAACGAGAAACACAAACTGCTTTATGGCAATTCGACATAATTCTATGATACTGTGTATGATGTATTACCCACTCGGTAGACACAGCTACACACAATAAAGTTGGCCCACTCCAATAATAACAATTGCACATGAGCAGCGGTAGAAAGCGAGAGGAAGGTGGCGCAAGTGAGTTTTTTTATGACAGTGTTGTGAAAATATATGCCGCACAGCTGTAGGGGGAGCTCGATGAGAAAACATGCGACAACAAAAGTGGAAATCAGCGAAGAAAGGATTAGAGTTGCCAAGTGCCCTTTAAAGACCTTTTTAGATCGCATTATTTGAACGTGAAATATTTCCATCCTGCAGCGACACCACACCACCTACAGGTGACGCGAAGGAGTTCTGGGTGAATATGCCAAACTTGTTGAGTCACCTGAAGAAAGTGGCTGAGCAGAGGCCACAGGCCACGTATTACAATGTGGACATGCTGAAGTACCAGGTGGGATTTTACATATATACATGATCTTTTAGAATCTACATCATTTAAAGGAGTCATGACATGGATTTTTCTTTTATTATTTTAATGTTTCTTGAGGTTCACTTAAAATGTCAATAAAGGTTTTTTGCACACACACACAAAAAAAAAATATATATATATATATATATATGTGTGTATGTATGTATAAAATTTGACCCTCATTGTCTGAAATGATCAATTTTTAAGGGGCGGCTCCTTTAAAGGTTTGTCAGTAAATAGCGACTGTTATGATTTGAACATTATCCATATAATACCGTCTTTTACAAACAAAGCATTATGAAATCATTTACTTATGGTTTGCGATGTAGCTGCTGTCAGATCCAGTACAGTTCAATGCTTCATCTGTCAACAAAAGTTTCTTTGCGAACTCTCCCTTACACTGTGCCTCATTTACAAAAAAATCTGCAGTCAAATGCTCCAACCAAACATATACACCTCCATGACACCATTTAAAGGGTTAGTTCACCCAAAAATGAAAATTAAGTCATTAATTACTCACCCCCATGCTGTACCAACCCCGTAAGACCTTCGTTCGTCTTCGGAACACAAATAAATATATTTTTGATTAAATTTGAGAGCTGTATAACTACCACATTGGCTCCTAAGGGACTGCCTCTTGATGGCCCAGAAAGTCAATGAAGAAAATGTTTAAATATCCCAAGTGACTACCGTGGCTCAACTATATGTTTATCAAGCGACGAGAATACTTTTTGTGCGAAAAAACAAACAAAAATAACGAGTTTATTCGACTATTCCTTTTCTTCCTTGTAGGCCAGAAACGAGACTTCCTTAGATTTCCACGACGCATGCGCGAGAATTGCGATCTGAAGTAGTGTAAGCTGGTGTAAGCAGATCGCAATTCTCGCGCATGCGTCGTGGAAATCTAAGGAAGTCTCGTTTCTGGCCTACAAGGAAGAAAAGGAATAGTCGAATAAACTCGTTATTTTTGTTTGTTTTTTCGCACAAAAAGTATTCTCGTCGCTTGATAAACATATAGTTGAGCCACGGTAGTCACTTGGGATATTTAAACATTTTCTTCATTGACTTTCTGGGCCGTCAAGAGGCAGTCCCTTAGGAGCCAATGTGGTAGTTATACAGCTCTCAAATTTAATCAAAAATATATTTATTTGTGTTCCGAAGACGAACGAAGGTCTTACGGGGTTGGTACAGCATGGGGGTGAGTAATTAATGACTTAATTTTCATTTTTGGGTGAACTAACCCTTTAAAATAAACGTGTTCCCGACACTGGGATCCTTTGAGTACTTCCGAAACTGAGTGCTTATCTTTATATTGTATACAGTGTAGACAGTGTTAGTGATTATAATGGGTTCTATTTGCTTCTGACGTGACTCAACGCTCACATGATCCAGCAGTGACTGACTGCTAGTGGGCGGGGCCTATGCCACGATGATATATAACTATTCATCCATGTCTTGCTCTGGAGGCAGTCACATGCAAGTGTTTTTGCTCGTATGATGACAAATCCCACACTATCCAAATGGAAACTATCCAAATTTTTGGAGCTTGATTAAATAATGCTTTGTTTATAATGGTGATTTTTAAAGCTATGAATCTTGAAGGATGTTTTAATAGTAAAAAGACCTTTTAATATATATTATAATATAAAATATACTTAAATATGTCAAAATGACCCCTTTAAATCTGAATCTGGTCATCCTCTCTATAGTAGTGTAAGATATTTGAGATTTGTCCATCCAGGTGTCCACTCAAGGGATCCAGTCCACGCCGCTGAACCTTGCGGTGAGCTGGCGTGGTGATGCCAGCAGCACAGACCTCAGGATAGACTATAAATACAACACAGAGGCCATGGCCACTCCCACACCTCTCACCAACATCCACTTCATGGTAGCTGTGGATGGTGGCGTGAACAAACTCCAGGCCATGCTTCCACCTGCAACCTGGTAAGGATCGATCAAGAAAATCACTCTAAAAAAACTCAACAGCAGTGTGTTGATGTATTGTAATGTTTTCTCCTTCCTTGCTTTTAAAGGAACCCAGAGACGCAGAAAATTGCGTGGAAGATCCCAGAGCTCTCACAGAGGTCTGAAAATGGAGGTAAATCCCCTTTAGATATTAACTGGTTGGAAGGGAAGCCCTCTAAAAGCTTTGCTAGAACGTTTAGCTCATGTTGGCAACTGTACTGGCAGAATGCCCTAATGGTAGTAAATTGAATTACTTAAGGAAAGGATTCACACAAAAAAAAAAAAACAGGCCATTTTACACCTGGTATTAAGATGTGTTTTAGTGACCCATGTGGTAGGATATATACATACATATCTGTAATGTCCTGTCATTGTGTGTCCGTGTGCCAGGGGTTGGCGCTCTTCTGGCTCGCTTCCAGCTAGCCGACGGCCCCAGTCGACCATCGCAGCTGGCAGTGCAGTTCACCAGTGAGGGCTGCACTCTGTCTGGCTGCGATTTTCAACTTTTAGGTTCAGGCTATAGACTATCCTTGGTTAAAAAAAGGTTTTCTGCAGGTATGTCTTTTTAAGAAATATATTTGTTCATTTGCAAAGAAGCAAGAAGGGCTTTTCATACTGTGCTCTGTGTGTAATCAATGACACTGACACCACAAATATTCAATTAAGGCCTTGTGTTTAGGAATGTTCAGTGTGAAATGGCAGTTTATTAATTGTTGAATTAACCGATTCAAACGTGATAAGCCCTAGCGTTTATTTTTTCACAGTATCTGATATAAAAATGTATGTTTTTGTATTCCACAGGTAAATATCTGGCAGACAACTGACCTGGCTTCAGCGACGACCTGCTGGATGATGGATGGGCTGTGAGTGGGATGTTAGGATGCTCTTTTGGCACTACAAAGACTTTCAAAAATGTTTTTAAACGAAATTCCAGAAGTACAGCACTCAAAATCTCACTTACAATGTCTGGTGTAGAATATCATCAGTGCGTTCTGTGGGTGTGTGTGTGTGTATATTAGCAAATATTTTGTGTGTATATGATAAAACTTCAGGACAAATGCAATACGTGGACTTTTTCCGCTGGGTTCTTGCAGAAGGCAGAGTTTTCTTTTTCACTTATTGCACATTCTCTTTTTCACTCAAACCAAACACACTTAGTGACATTACAATCTAATGATACCAGGGTTCACATAGGCTATAGGAACACACGTCAGAAGTGTTTGGCTTTCTTTTAGTTATTTTGATCGATTCTAAACAGTTCGATTTAACTATAATTAAGTCTCAATTCCCAGATAATGCTACAAATAACACTTTACAATGAGATAGAGTTTGTTAACATTAGTTGATGTATTAAACCCAGGACACACCAAACCGACAGTCGAATGTCAGCCCGTTTTCGAGTGTCGTCGGATTTGGTTTTTTTTTGGTTGGCTCTCTTTGGACACCGTCTGCGTTTTATGGGCTGATTCAGCATGTTGAGAAAGAACTATGATTGGCTGTTTAGTTAAGCGAACGAGTCAGTGCACACAGACAGAAGGCTGTTAAAATTTTACGTCATCTTACCTGAGCATTCGAATACGTGAATATTTTCATAATAACAAGAGCCGACTGGAATGAAGAAAGTGATCAGGTTGATTGATGTTCAAAATAGGAAGCAAGCGCTGCTTTGTTTATGGTTTGTATATCTACAGTTTTAGATTCGGTTTTCCTTTTTGAATGACGAAAATAGACTATTGATACCTGCTGATATAGACAAATATTCCCTTGCATGCAGGGCCAAAATGCACATGCTAGTTGACAGTTGCTTTAGTCATTTTGGTGTGTTCAAGCGCCAATGAGAGGCGACAACACATTGCCACCAGTTCTTTGACGTCGGCTTGGTGTGTCCTGGGCTTTTGGTATCGACAACATAGTTACAGCCTTTTTAAATCTAGGTTAATGTTAATTTCGGCATTTACACTACCATTCAAAAGTTTGGGGTCAGTAAGGTTTATGATTTTAATTTTTTTAAGAAATTAATAATTTAAATAGCAAGGATGCATTAAAGTGATCAAAAGTGACAGTTAAGACAATTATGTTGTGATTTGTTCTATTTTAAATAAACGTTGTTCTTTTGAACTCTCTTTTCATCAAAGAATCCTAAAAAAAAATCAATCATGGTATCCACCAAATATTCTCCGAAATATTCTGAATATTTAGCTTTGATCACACGAATAAGTTACATTTTGAAATTCACTAAAATAGATAGAGTTTTTTGAAATTGTAATAATAATATTTCACAATATTACTGTTTTTTGCTGTATTTTTCAAAAATATATTTAAAAAAAAATGTACTGACCTCAAATATTTTGAGTTTGAGTTGTAGAAATCAACATTGTTGTATTATTAACAAATTTGAATGGACTAATACTAAATGCATAACACATTAATCATGCCTAGATCAATAATGCTGTAAAAATGTAAATGTATTATTAGTTTATTTGGTATTTATTAGTTTATGATGCCTAAAACATCAACTAATGTTAGTGAATGAACTTTTGTTGTAATGTCTTACCACCCGGCAATTAGAAATGATGAGAAATGCAGACATGCTTCCACAGGATATTCTGTTTAATATCATCTCAAATTGTCTCTTGCGTCAGTGTTAATATTAATTTGATGTTATTGGCGAAAACATGTTAGAATGCATCACTTCTGTCTAGTTGGCCCTTTTGTTAAACTAAGTGCTTAAACATGAATGTGAGTGTTACATTCATAATTCTTGCAAAAAGTGGTAATATTGTTCTCAATTTCTTTAAATCGTTTACTTTAGGAAAATGAAACTCATTTGTGTCAGGGATGCAGAATTCCTTAAGGCGAAATAAACTTAAGGAACTGGTCAAATATAAAATATTTTCCTTTTGGTTTTCCACAATGTGGATTTTATTTTCCCAAAACATTGTACTGTAGCAATATTCAAAGATAATGTGTAAAAATGTAAAATAGAAATTGTTAATCATGTATCCCAAATGGATACAGAGTTTCTATGTCTTGTCATAGAACCGATTTCATGTCAGGTTATTGTTGGTATTTACAGTTCATGGTGGCACTTTATTTTTATTTATTAATGTTTAAGATACATGTAATTTATTTTATGCCTAGTTCTGTGGTTTGTAATGGATTCTGAACACTCACTAGACTGTTTTATTGTTCAAAAAGGGAAAGAAACAACAATGGACTAGTACAGAAGAACATTAATCGCATCCTTTCATTTATCACTTCCTTGTACTGTATTGTGTTGTCAACTCACATATTTTGGTAAGTAGGGAAATGCTCATCTTTATTATACATGATTTTTCTTTGCTGACACAAGACCCATGTGGATCATTGCCTTTAAAACTGTGAGATTATCCATCCAAGTGTGTAGAAACTTTTACTAGAAAAGCCTCAAATATCTCTAGTTGTAGAGATATAGTACAGTACATGTTGTTCCTGGATAATCTTCAGTTATGTGCTTTGGCTAATGTGGTTTTGGATAAGTGACACATTATTTCTGCCATTAATTAAGTGTACTTTATTTCAGTGGTTTGGATGCCTTACCTGACCTTAAATGTGGAGCGATGGATAGACAACTGCTGCTTGCGGAAGGTTCATTCCTGTTAAAACAAGTCTCATTTTATATAATGTGTATTTGTTACTTTTTATCCCACTGATGTTGTGGTATTGTGTTTGTCAGCTAAATTTCATCTTGTTCATTCATCATTCAGAAAATGGATTATGCAAACATTTCATGCATAGAATAAACCTCTCCCCAGAATTTAAGAGAATATAGAGACTGAAAATGCTAAATATATCAAAAATGAAAATTATGTAATGTCTTGGAAATAAAATCAAGAAATTCATGTTTAACATTCTTGGCTTCTTGTTAAAAGTCATTGTCACTAACACAATGTATGCAAACACTTTAAGAATTTTATTGCAGGGATAAAATTACTAAATAGCAAACATAGTCAACACTATGGGTTTAATAGAACTACATAAAGTAGCCTAAATTTAGTTTAGTTTTGTTTCCTTTGATAGGCTAGTTAAAAAAGGAACATTTTTGTCAAATAGTCTATGTTCATAAAAGCTTTCAGAAAGCGTTGCTCAACAATTTGATTAAACGAAATCACACTATAAATAATTTTTGCGCATAATTTACTAGTCACTACGTCACCAAGCAATGTCGGCATTACCATATAGTGTTTGGCATTACATAATCTTTTCAAATCTACTGTAAACATTTCGTTGATTTGGTCGCCATAGAATTCGTAATAGAATATCGCTGACAGGACAACCCACCTAAAGTGAAAATGAAATCCACCATTGTCAAGGCAACGTTTGTCAACAAGCTGTTACTGTCCTGAGCATTTCCGGTTTCTGGAAGAGACTCATCTAAGCGGTAAGTGCATTTTCCTGCGATGCGATAAAAGTTATGTAGCCTACCTAGGTGTTTTAGTTTATTTTATGACATATTTTATCAAGGGAAATAAGCTTTACATACACTAATATATGTTTAGTGTTTTACCGGTGTACATATAAATATCTTTTGTATTTCTTTCGTAGAATTGCATTCGACTTTTCCGCAAAATGTCTGATTTAGCGAAAGAGAAAGCAGCACGTCTGCTGAAGAAACGTGGAAGTGTGTCTTCTCTGGGCAGTCATGAAGTCAGAGCTATGACCTTTGGCAGAAAAAAGGAGTGAGTTACTGTCATTACTAACTCATATTTAACACTTTTTTTCATTTTACCATTATTTTGATATAATAAAGCAGCATTTGTTTTTCTCTGTAAGCTCTATCAGCACTGTGTCCTACATGGAAGAGCCTGGACATCATGATGATATTCCACGACCTATAGTGCCAATGGAGAACACCTATCGGCTCAGTGAGTCTATTTTCCTTGACAGTTAAATAGCTAGAGATACTAATTTGTGAACACCGAACAAATGATAGACATAAAGATGCACCAAAATGATTTCATACGAAATAAACCAATAATTCCTGTTATGCAGTATATTTTCATGTCTTTTTGTCTTAATATATTAAATGCTATATGAATTTTTAAGTGAACACCATTTTTGTACACTGGTAGAGTTGGGCGAAGATAAATAATTAAAGCTGCAGTACGTAACTTTTTGGGGTTAAAAATGATCCAAAATATATCTTTTTTAACGAATACATAACCAACCGTGTGTTCAAAACTATATCTATAGCTATATTGCGTGTGAGGATGTTGGAGGTGGAGATTTATAGCCTTTTCTCACAGCACATCGGACATCGGAGTGGCTACAGACAAAAGAGACCGCAACCAGGCCCATGCGAAAACAAGGATTCATATTGGAAGGGCATTACATGTAGTCACGCAATGCTGATGTTATTGACATTAACAACTTGAGAACAAAGTATAATTTGGACGGTTTGACGTGATATGATAAACGATCATTAGTTTTAATCAACACGATTTACTGCAATGCTTTTTTTCCCCTTAGTTGGTCAGAACAAAAGTGGATGTTACTTGCTTGTTCAGATTACATTTTCTAGTGAAAATTCCGAATGATACTGTAGTATCCGCACCGGCCCGTTGGCTGACAGCCGCACATTCTCCTCAAAACATTGGATTCATCCCCGCTGTCCCGTACCGAGCCGAGGCACAACCCACGTTGATAATTCCGCGAATAACTGCAATGGGCTCTATGCACGGCGGTATTTCCGGTGAAGCATTAGGGATGCTCGATAACTTCCGCCGATCGTAGAGTCCAATGCAATACCGAGAATTTATATTGAATTTTATACTCCATGGTTATACTAAAGAAACATTAGTCACAAAAACAGATAAAACAGACACCCCTCGTTGTGTTTATGCTTCTTTTTAAAATTATATTAAATAAATATAACTATATATAAAATTACATCTAAACGTATGTACGTTTCATTTCAAAGACTGGAGGACAGTAAATTTTGAAGACTCTGCCATAATCCCGTTTTCCTCGGTTTTCCTCCGCTTTAATCTCCACAACCGGAAATGGACGAGCATCCTTACGTCAAATGCGGAGCGTGCATATAGCCCATTGCAGATTTCGAACAGAAATGGCGACAAAGAGGAAATACTATGGACTGCAGCTTTAAAATAAAATATTTTTTGCTATTTTGACATATTCAAATAAAATATGGGCCGTTAAATATGTAAACATTAATATACCTATAAGTCATAGAATAATTTGACCTTTCAGATGAATCTCTTTGATTCTGCTTTGTCTGTCAACACTTATTCGATTATTCAACTAAATGGTCGAAATTAAATAGTTGGTTTAGTATTTTACGTTAATGACACTTTAAACGATATAAATATTAATAAGAATTATATCAAAAGTATTTTATACATTCTGTGAAAGTTTATCCAGGGGAGCTTTTCACTGCATTTTTCATATAATAAGATTCCTTTATATAATAAATAGTAAGATTTATTCATCTTTGAATAATTTTTCATGTTGTTCTATAACAAATAAATTAGCAAATGTTTCTATTTTTTTCCTATATTAACACATTGGCTGATGCATCATCATTATGCACATTCTAAAGTTATATTTAAATATGTTACAATTTAAAAGTAAATGCACATTGGGGGGCACCTTCCCCCATGTTACCCTATTTTAATAAGAAATATTCAATTTTCCCCCATTTATTTAACCAAAATGTTTTAAATAAAGCATTTAGTTGTATATCACTTCATAGAAATACTCCTTTAAACTGCAATACAAGCATTTTAGTTTTTAGTTATAATAGGACAGAAACAAGTTGATTCACACATTTAAATGTATGTGGTTGAGATTAGACATCATTGGCTAGCTATCTTGTGCAGTAATGTGAATTTTATTAGTTCTGGATCATTAATTGTCTGTAAATGTTGGAGCAGCCCCCGCACGCCGTTTCCCAGTGATAACAGTCAAAGACATTCTGAAGGATGTGTTGACCAGCTACCTGCAGGAGGAGAAATATGAACCCGAGTTGTGCAGGCAGATGACCAAAACAATCTCTGAGGTCCATTCATTTCATCAAAATCCTTGCTTTGAATTAATTACATTGCAGATCAATAAACTTAACATTGTATTTAGCACAAGCATGTTGAAGTTATAAATATAGAAACATGCATCCAAATTGAATGAATATATATATATATATATATATATATATATATATATATAATTGAATGAATGAAATCTTTGTGGTTACTGCAATTGCAGGTTGTCAAGGCCAGGGTTAAAGATTTGATGATTCCTCGCTATAAGTTCATAGTCATCATCAGCATTGGTCAGATCAGAGACCTGAACATCCGTATGGGGAGCAGATGCCTGTGGGATGAGACACGCGACAATTTCTCCTCGCATACTTTCAAAAACAGCTCGCTCTTTGCCACCGCGACTGTCTATGGTGTCTATTTTGAATGAGTCTGTAAGAATAGACTTTAGTCAGGTTGTGCCGTATTTCATTTTTGACAGGAATGAAACCGAGACGTTCAATGGATTGTACTATTGTTTAACAAAATAACCACTGTTCAGCTTAACTCCATAGAATAGTTTTGAAAGTTGTGAAAGGTATGTGATCTAGGACCTTTATACAGTGTAAAGACTGTACAACAGTCTACTGTCACAACCTCCATTTCTCCTCTGTTAAATTCGATATGGCCTCCAACCTGACTAAAGTCTATGTCAGCTGGGTTTTTGTGACAAGTGAGTTTAGTGAATGAGCACCACATCGAGTAGTGGCCAAATGTGCTGTCCAGCCTAGGAAAAATTACATCTTTACCCTTTATTCATATATTATATTAGAAATGCGTTAAAGATTTTGTAAGAATATTGCGTTGTGCTTGAAGTCAATTGCTTTATTTTTGATAACACAATGAAACATGCCAAATTGTGCAGCCAAAACATTTGGCCAGGCTGTCATACAAAGAAATTATGAACACATGCCACAAGTATTTTTTTCTGATAAATAGCTTAATCAAATTTTGTTCTTCCCTCATATTTAATATATATATATATGAAGAGTTCAGATGCAAAAGCCTCTAAATGCCATTTGAAATTTTCTTCTTTAATGATGATTTTTATCAAACTTGTATATTTAAGTTAAGTAATTTCACTTAAATAACAATTAATAGGTAATTATCAATGCCATTTAAGTGAAATCACTGAAATTAAATATACAAGCTTGATAAAAATGATCATTCTAGAAGAAAATTTCAAATTGCACTTAGAGGCTTTTGCATCTAAACTCTTCATATATATATATATATATATATATATATATATATATATATATATATATATATATATATATATATATATATTCTTCAAAATTTTGAAGGTTTAATCAAACTAATCTCTCTCTGGACATCACTTTTGCCCACTACTGTATGTGCGCCCTGATCATTCTGAAGTTATTGCCTGTGATGCTATTTAATATTTATATGATAGAAGCACATACTGGACATGATTTACTGGCCGAAAACGTTTTACCTCATAAACAATTGGAAAATATAAATCTCTTTCCATGCATTGAGTTGAAATGTCATCAGTTAAATACCTCATTGTGTTTCATACCTCATTGTAAGTTAATAAATCTATATGTCTATTATCATTTGTTTACTATTATTTGTTTTGAGAACATAGACATTTTTTTCATATATAGAAGTGCTTTCATATATTATTAAGTTAAGTTTAAGTTTGTTATTGTTTGGAAATTAATTTTTGGAAAATTTAATTGACAAAATATGGATGTTTCAAAGCCAGGTTGAGCTGTACACTTGGTGCGTTATTTATTAATAACTTAATATAATATTGTTTAACGCAGAAAACAACTATGTTTTCTGTATGTTTCCTATGCAGAAAAAGAGCCATTTGAAAATGTGAACTTTTTTGGTAAACTTAAATGCCTCACTTATCATATATCATACATATTTTTGTATTATGTTATTCTGAATCAATATTTTCATGTAATGTTTATTACTGCATACTCCACTGTGTCTGGGAAGAGTAATAAATCCATGGATTTCCCGGCTGCCATGAGCCTTGATCCCAGTAAAGACATAACACTGAAACTGAATAATTTAGTTAAGAAATACTTCTTATTTCTATGTTGATTCTACATCATGGCAAGGGGAAATCCATGAATTTATTACGCTTCCCAGAAAGTGGAGTTTGGAGGTGCTTTTTTTGGAGCGCGTACACACTAATTTTTGAGACTACTGTATTATTTCTCCATTTGAATAGCTGGGGTTTGAGACATGTACAGTAAGTTCATAAAGTGCTTTCATTGCGTAGAAATGTCAATTTCTTATACAAAATGTGTTTTCAGAAGGTTATTGCAAATGTATGCCTCTTAGTGCCAATTGGAGATCGTTTAAATGCCACGGCCTACCTGTGCATTGTTTCTGACCATGTCCATCCCTTTATGGCCACCATGTACCCATCCTCTGATGGCTACTTCCAGCAGGATAATGCACCATGGCACAAAGCTTGAATCATTTCAAATTGCTTTATTGAACATGACAGTGAATTCACTGTACTAAAATGGCCCCCACAGTCACCAGATCTCAACCCAATAGAGTATCTTTGGGATGTGGTGGAACAGGAGCTTCGTGCCCTGGATGTGCATCCCACAAATCTCCATCAGCTGCAAGATGCTATCCTATCAATATGGGCCAACATTTCTAAAGAATGCTTTTAGCACCTTAATGCAACGTCGAATTAAGGCAGTTCTGAAGGCGAAAGGGGGTCAAACACAGTATTAGTATGGTGCTCCTAATAATCCTTTAGGTGAGTGTGCGTCATCAATATATGCCTTTGTTATTGTAAGAGGTTAGCAAAAGTCCCTTTAACAACCTTAGAGATAATGGTTGGTCTTTCTTCATAAAGGTTACTGTTAAATCTATTTCTAAATCTAATCTATGCAGAAAGTGCGATTCGAATTGTAACTTCCGGAATACGACACTTGCACTTTTTGGATTTGACTACTTTTGGCTCCGTACAAATAGGCTACAAAAGAGTTTTTTGTCATCCTCAAGTTGAGTGGCATGTAGGAATATAATAAAATTCCTCTGAAAATGTATTTGCCAACAAATTAGCACTCAAATCAACCATATATTTCATATTTTCACATTCATATTTTCTTTTTTTTTTGTTTTTGTTCAAAATGCTTTTATTATTAATTTATAGTATCGCATTGGATATAGCCTATTGCATAAAATACAATATTGGGTATACATTAATACAAATAAAAACATTTGGAATCTAGAATTATTGCTTCTAGATTGTATCCTTATTAAACAACAATTTTTAAAAAATTAGTTTTTGCATTTGAAGAATTTCATGGAAAACAACATCTGAACGTTTCTGAAATGTTAATTTTAAAACCATTTTCACTTTTTGAGTTCTTTTTTAATGTAATTCAAGTCCTCAGAAAAAAAAATATATAAAGGCATTTTGCAGAGAGAGGATGATGAAGGTTCTTGTGTTTCTCAGCACATGCGAACAAGATCACTTTTTCTACAGCCGACTGTACAGCACGTGGAGGGCAGCGTTTCGTATGTGTCTCTTCTTACTCGATCCATTTCTGCAGAGGTCTCCGTATCAGTCTCCATTTTATAACCTGTGGGAAATCATTGTCATGTGATGTAATCATTTTGGTTACCTTCACAGTTTCTGAATGAGCATGAGAAGTTATTTCAGAACGGAAAAGTCATGGGTTAAACACTATATAGACAGCAGCAGGTGGCGCACAAGAGCTGAATTTAGAGGAAAAACAGCATAAGACTAGCATAAGACTCCTTCAGTTCTACGATTTCTAAAGCACAAACAGTATATGCCAGTGCTGTTCTGTTCCCACATTCAGACAAGTTTTATATTTATGCTTTGAATTGACTGGCATAGGCCTAATTGCATGTCAAACTAAATTTACATGAGGATGCAAAGTAACTTTAATGCTAAAGTAAATTCCAGTTGATTTATAATTGATTCCTTATGAATTTGTATCATTTTTAATTATCAAATTAATGAATTGTAGTAAAATTCATTCATACAAATATTTTATAAAATAAGTAATAATAATGAAAATATATAACAAATAACCCGCTCTTCATTTTTGCAGTTAAATACATTATTATATTATATTATATTATATTATATTATATTATATTATATTATATTATATTATATTATATTATATTATATTAAAGGCACACTAATTTTGACATATAATACATTTTATAATTTACATTTATTATTTAAATTATAAATAAAGAATTTATATTTTGAATCTTATTATTATATTAATTATATATAAAATATTATATAAAAATTATAATCTTTATAAAATATCCATTCCAGTTCTGAAAATTTGCAGTTCAATAGATTATATTATATTATATTATATTATATTATATTATATTATATTATATTATATTATATTATATTATATTATATTATTTTATATTATATTATATTATATAAAAGGGACATTCATTTTAACAAACAATACATTTTATAATTTAGCCTACATTTATTTATGTAAATTATACATAAAAAATATATATATTTGGATTATTATAATTATTATAATTAGGGATGCATATGAACATTTTGGCCGATGCCGATAACCGATAATTCTTTATATTTAAAAGCCGATAACCGATATATCGGCCGATAAATCTAAATCCAATTTTTTTATAAATTTTGAGAGCCTGATTGCAAAAACAAAAGTCTCACAATTAAAATCCATTTCCCAATCACACAATTATAATGTTCTCATTATTATTTCCTGTAGCCGATATGACAGCACATTTTGCACTATATTTTCCTTTTTGATTCCAATCATATTTCAAGCAATTAAGATCAATCATGTTGAACAGTGCACATCTTAAGTGTCTCAAATGTCAAATGTTAAAGGAAATAATTAGCCAAATCAGCCAAATTTTATTACCGGGCCGATAACGATAACATAAAAATGAACAAATATCGGCCGATACCGATATGATGGCCGAAATATCGTTCATCACTAATTATAATATATACAAATTCTTTATCAGATTATTTTATTCTTTATTAGCTCAAAAGATTATTTTATATTATCAGTAAAACTGCAGGCCAAGTATATAACATAGTTAAAAGTTAAAATTAACCACCTGAAATATTAGTATCAGTTAGTGTTGATATGTAATAATAAACAACTACCGAATACTTAACATTAAGAGTTAGAAACGGATAGTTGTGCTCTGACCTACATTTACAATGGGATGAAGACAAAATCTATACTGACCATTGACGCGGTCCTCAGACTGGACCCGCCTCCATCTAGAACCCCCACACGTGTAGACAACAGCCCGAAAAAACTCACGGCCACAGAGTCTCAGAGCTTTCTGGGCCTGGGCCGAATCTGCCCACACAGCAAACACCAACAGCACAGCCAGCAGCACGACCTTCATGGCTGGAAATAGTGTCAAATCTGGGTCTTCCGCTGAGTTTATGGATGTCTTTTGTTAGCTTGTGTTTTCTGACTTCAGAGCGTCTTCGTTTATATACTATGCAAAGTATGATTTATGTGTTATTGACGCACATCTTCTCTGTGACCTTTCAAATGAGGCAAAATGACCCAGAAAGCATTTGACAAAATGGGTTTGTTGGTTTTAAATAAATATGATGTGCAAGTGGTGTATCAAAATACAGCTAATTTAACAAAGTGGCGTGAGGCTTTTGTTTTATTTGCTACAGCAAAGTGCTCTTTAATGACGTTTTAGAGATCCATGCCCATAAAACTGAATATGGCAAATTTGAGCGTGTGTCACACCAGCATTATAGTGTGACACCAGGATAATGACAGCACTTACTTCCTCCCAAACCTTGTTAATTTGACCTAAAAGGCTGAGCACCATAATGCGTCGATGTATTTCTGTCTGGTAAACACTTTGTTGCCAAGTGCTTCCACACAACATCCCTGTTTACTGGAGCAAATACCATCCTGTATAGTATTTGGCACAGGCTTTCACATTTAGATTTGATTGCAGTCATTCCTAAAGGAAACTTCTTCTATGAGTCGTCATAAGATACTTTTTTTTTTTTTTGATGATTTTGCGTCATTCGTTTTATGTAACTGTCAATTCATTATTTCTTCCTTTTTTTTTTTTTTTTTTTGGTCATTGTTCATAAAGCAGCAGCAACTTGATTGACAGTCTGACTTGCTTTTGAACAGGCAGGTGTTATAGAGTTGAAGTCTATGAAGAGTTTTGGAGCTATTTGAGGATGAACAAATGCAATGCCTCTGTAATGTTTTCTCCTTATGGTGTTTCCAAAGCTTGTATTTGTTGTTATTGTTGACTCGCAAGGCATGGAAGCAAAAGAGAACTATAAAGTCTTATCTCAGATGTTTATAGACATGAAGTTGTAAAATCTCTACCACTACATGATAGTCATCCTTGGCATTGAACACCAGCACTTTGCTTAGCAGTTCAGAGCGTGAAAAGATATCCTGCTGAAAAATCAGGCATAAACCAGCATGAATTATGTGCTTGTTGTGGCTTGTGTTTTACTATATTTAACAAATTAATGATGTAAAGGAAAAGCTACGATTATGAAACATGATTTATTGAAATATAAGATTTTAACTTTAACTTTTACTCTCTCTGTTGAAAGTGGAACTGAACATTTTAATTGTTTTAGTTATTACTAATGTTGCAAAGGATGCGTCTACTCAAATCAGTGTAAAAAGAGCTTGTATAATGCAAAACAAAAACATTTAGAGGTATGTAAAAAAGGAAAGTGCTAAATAAAAGCATAATCATAAGCAGTTTGTTCAAAGAAGGGGTTGAGAAGAGCTCTCTCGATAAAAAAAAATAGGCTAATGATGTGCACGGACAAAAATAATTATAGGTTACTGCTGACTTTGAATTAAATCAAATTATATTATTTATTATTTTTAGTTAGGCTATATAATGTAGATGTACTAATCATTTCTCTTCTTGAACCCATGCCTTTTGATATTTGCAATATAAAGACACTTCAGACAGAAGACAACCCGAGCAGAACCGTCATTTTGTTCTGTTCTTTACTTAGATAGACTACTCAACCATGGAGCATAATGTGACATAATGTGACATTTTTTTTTTTTTTTTTTTTACTGGAGTAGTTCCTGAAGCCAAATACCTTATCAAAGCTCTATGCAAAAATTAGTGATGTGAATGAGTGAGAGTCAAAATGAAGAGTTCAGATGCAAAAGCCTCTAAATGCCATTTGAAATTTTCTTCTTTAATGATGATTTTTTTCAAACTTGTATATTTAAGTTCAGTAATTTCACTTAAATAACAATTAATAGGTAATTATCATTGCCATTTAAGTGAAATTACTGAACTTAAATATACAAGTGTGATCAAAATCATCATTAAAGAAGAAAATTTCAAATGGCATTTAGAGGCTTTTGCATCTGAACTCTTCAAATAAAAACTAGCACAAATCTGTCTATGCGTGCATCTCTCAGAAATCAGAGCTTGGCTAGTAATATCAACTCAAATACATCCAAAACTGGCCCGCCAGCAATCTGGCCCGCGCCGCAGCCCAAAAAAGTCCTGAAAGCCTTTATAAAAAAAGTATGTGGCTCGCTAGACACACCTCTAAAATAACCGTCATGAAATGTCTGTTTTTATATTAAAAGCGTCTCTGCACGCGTTGTCTTTTTTGTTGTTTTTTTATCGTGGAATTTAAACGCGAAACTTTTTACGTGCGTATGATATGATTGTTTTTCGCGTGCATTTACGCACTTTATTGCGTAATAGGCTACACACGCACCCGACACCACTTCTAAACCTATCCCATGCCTAATTTGGCTAGACATAGGCTACAATTGTATTAATACACACTACATCTCATCACCCTTGCTTTGCAATATCAAACCAAATGTAACATGGTCGTGATACCGGGTTGGGCACTGAAGTTACAGGAGTTTCTTCCCGTTGCTAAGCAACGGATCTAGGTCGAGTATTTAAAAGGGGTTATGGTTAACACGGTTAACGTGGTTTAACGTAGATGTAATACGTTGTTTTATCGCACCTTTTGCTTAAACGAGGAGCTGGGGGACGCAGGAAAAATAGACATTTTACTCATTAGGCTGCTTCATTAAAAACGTGACATTTAGACGTTTTCTTCGGCGTGGATCAAGGCAAATGAATCCTTTTCATCTTAAAAATAATACATGTTTTTTGCATTTTAAATAATAGAACATTTCTCATGTGATCGTAAATAAAAAAAAAAATCAATTTTTCTCGGTTTAATTAAAACCAAAAGGTCGTTATGGCAGAGCGAGGCGATTGCGGCTAGAATAGGTCCGGGTCTCTCTCCACTGGAGCGTGTTAACGCAAATGTGTAAGTTTCACGTTTGAGGGGGTTAAACCGTGACATCTACACGTTTTCCAAAGTGGACCATTTAGGCTGCTCCATTAAAAACGTGACATTTAGACGTGTTTTTTGTTCGGCCTAGATCGAGGCAAATGAATCCTTTTCACCTTAAAAAAACAAAAAAAAAATGTTTTTTGCATTTTAAATAATAGAACATTTCTCAGTGATCATAAATAAAACAAAATTCCATTTTTCTCGGTTTAATAAAAACCAATAGGTCGTTATGGTAAGTTTCAGTTTAAGTGTAAGTTTCACGTTTAAGGGGGTTAAACCGTGACATCTACATGCTTTCCAAAGCGGACCAACGTGATTATTTCGCTTTCCCAACATGATTATTTCACGTCTTATCGTGATACCAGTTTGGAGAAATGTTGTTTTGGAGTTACAGGAGTTTCTTCCCATTGCTAAGCAACGGAACTAAGTCAAGTATTTAAAAGGTTATGGTTAACACGGTTGAGGTGGTTTAACATCGATGTAATACGTTGTTTTAGCGTACCTTTTGCTTAAACGAGGAGCTGGCCCAGATAGCAAACTGACATTGAATCAACGTGGAAATATGACATCGAAACAACGTTGATCTGACATTGTTTTGCTCATCGAATTAACGTTGAACCAACGTCAGACGCGTCATTCTTTCAAAACTAACGGAAAATCAACTTGAAATCAACGCGTTGTTTCAACGTTATGAAAGCAAACCAATTTTCAATTTTCATTTAGCTTTGAAGAATGCCGCATCTGACGTGTTCAACGTTAATTCGATGAGCAAAATCAACGTCGTTTCCACGTTGATTCAATGTCAGTTTGCTGTCTGGGGGGGACGCCCAAAAAATAGACATTTTAGTTATTAGGCTGCTTCATCAAAAACGTGACATTAAGACGTTTTTTTTCGGCGTGGATCAAGGCAAATGAATCCTTTTCACCTTGAAAATAATAAATGTTTTTATTTTGCATTTTAAATAATAGAAATTTCTCAGTGATCATAAATAAAACAAAATTCCATTTTTCTCGGTTTAATGAAAACCAAAAGGTTGTTAGGCGATTGCGTGTAGTCCAGGTCCCAGATAGCAAACTGACATTGAATCAACGTGGAAATATGACATCGAAACAACGTTGATCTGACATTGTTTTGCTCATCGAATTAACGTTGAACCAACGTCAGATGCGTCATTCTTTCAAAACTAACGGAAAATCAACTTGAAATCAACGCGTTGTTTCAACGTTATGAAAGCAAACCAATTTTCGATTTCATTTAGCTTTGAAGAATGCCGCGTCTGACGTTGGTTCAACGTTAATTCGATGAGCAAATCAACGTTGTTTCAATGTCATGAGAGACGTCGTTTCCACGTTGATTCAATGTCAGTTTGCTGTCTGGGGGTCTCTCTCCACTGGAGCGTGTTAACAGTGTAAGTTTCAACGTTTGAGGGGGTTAGACATCTACACGTTTTCCAAAGTGGACCATTTAGGCAGCTTCATTAAAAACGTGACATTTAGACGTTTTTTTTTTTTTTTTCGGTGTGGATCGAGGCAAGTGAATCCTTTTCACCTTGAAAATAATAAATGTTTTTTGCATTTTAAATAATAGAACATCTGTCAGTGATCGTCAATAAAACAAAATCCCATTTTTCTCGGTTTAATGAAATTTAATAGGTCGTTTTGGCAGAGGCGATTGCGTGTAAAATAGGTCAACATTATGGCGCTTACTCCGTGCCACATCCGACCGACCAACCGACCGACTTAATGTCACGTTCGAAGTGCAGGTCCTGTTTCACTCTCTTCCCCCAGTCTGGCGCAGGAGGAAGGAGTCGTGTCTTGCTTTCTCCCCTCGCTGCCGGTACACGTTACACCCGGTACACGTTGTATCGCTTCCTCTGAGGCACAGTTTGTTTTTCTCTGGAGCAGGCTTCTTCTATCCAGGCGGTGGTACCACCCAGAACGTATCAGGACGCCAAGCATACTCCTCCACGGTCAACCACGCCTCTCCATGGAAACAAGCGCAACTCCCTACATCAGTTATGTCTCTTACACTGCAATACTCCTCTCCATCTATCACATTTCTTTCAAGAATGGGAGCGTTTACCAAGGGTATCGCCTTGGATCCTTCGCACAGTTCGCCTCGGCTACACACTTCAATTTTTTTGCAACCCCCCCTGCTTCAATGGGGTCTTTCCTACTGTAGTCGACAGCACCACTTAGGCTTCTGTACCTACAGCAGGAGATTTCATCTCTTCAACTGAAGAGGGCGATAGAAGAGATTCCTTTGGGGGAAGTCAAACAGGGCTTCTACAGCCATTACTTCCTGGTCCCAAAGAAAGGAGGCGGCCTGCGGCCGATACTAGATCTTTGCCGGTTGAGTTTCTCTCTTTACAAAGGAAAACTCAAGATGTTGACGCTGAAGGCTATCATATCTCATATCTGGCTAGGGGACTGGTTCGTGACAGTAGACCTCAAGGATGCTTATTTCCACATCCAGGTCGTACGGCGACACAGGAAGTTTTTCAGGTTCGCCTTTGGAGAAAAAGGGTCCAGTATGCGGCAGTCCTGTGGGCGAAAATGCCTTGTTGATGCTAGAGGTCAGAGGAGAATGGGGCGACTGATTCAAGCTGATAAAAGAGTAGAAAAGCAACTTTGACTGAAATAACCACTCTTTACAACCAACGTATGCAGTAAAGCATTTGTGAAGCCACAACACACACAACCTTGAGACCTCACCAGTTCCTCTCATCTCCTCTCCAAATAGGAAAAAGTGGCTACAATTTGCAAGAGCTCACCAAAATTGGACAGTTGAAGACTGGAAAATGTTGGCTGGTCTGATGAGTCTCAATTTCTGTTGAGACATTCAGATGGTAGAGTATTCTGGTAGAGAATTTGGTGTAAACAGAATGAGAACATGGATCCATCATGGTGGTGGTGTAATGGTGTGGGGGATGTTTTCTTGGCACACTTTAGGCCCCTTAGTGCCAATTGGGCATTGTTTAAATGCCACGGCCTACCTGAGCATTGTTTCTGACCATGTCCATCCCTTTATGGCCAACATCCTCTGATGGCTACTTCCAGCAGGATAATGTACCATGTCACAAAGCTTGAATCATTTCAAATTGGTTTCTTGAACATGACAATGAGTTCACTGTACTAAAATGGCCCCCACAGATCTCAACCCAATAGAGCATCTTTGGGATGTGGTGGAACGGGAGCTTCGTGCCCTAGATGTGCATCCCACAAATCTCCATCAACTGCAAGATGCTATCCTATCAATATGGGCCAACATTTCTAAAGAATGCTTTCAGAACCTTGTTGAATCAATGCCACTTAGAATTAAGGCAGTTCTGAAGGCGAAAGGGGGTCAAACACAGTATTAGTATGGTGTTCCTAATAATCCTTTAGGTGAGTGTATATGCACCATGTAATGCACCACAACAATGTTTGGTGTTCAGTGTCCAAATGATTTTTGGTGTTCAATGTTCAAAGATGTTTGTCAACTTTATTTGCATAGTGCACTATACTCCCACTGTGAAGACTCTAAACCACAAGCACTCTTTGCACTCAGTAGTTAGGAATAATTTTTCTTTACTTTGAGAGCTTTTTTTCTAAATCTTGAGAGAAATTTTACATTGTTTTTTCACTTTTTAATTTCTGTATTTTTTACCCAAAAATTTGTCTTAACTGACACATCTAAAAAGTTTGGGATCAAATTATTGAATGGCTCCGTTTTTATCAACATACTTCTTAATTTTGATATCAGCACAACTGGTGAGTATTTCTCCTTACCTTAATGTATACTATATATATATATATATATATATATATATATGTATGTATATATATATATATATATATATATATATATATATATGTATATATATATATTGCTGGGCAATGATTAATCGCATCAGAGTCTGTGTACAATATATGTGTGTGTACACTGTGTATAATTGTGTTATTTATTTTAATATATATATATATATATATATATATATATATATGTGCTTATGTGTGTATTTATATAGGCCTATACAAAATAATTATATGCAGTACACACAAATATTATGTAAACACAAACTTTTATTTTGGATGTGATTAATCGTTGCTATATAAATCTTGCAACTATTCAAAAGGTTACGTTTTCTTATTCACATCATATTATCTTTATAGGTCAAATCATCAGGTGTGTTTGAGTTGAAGGTTCACTCTTTCACAACCTCCAGCAGCAGCAGTGTTTGTGAACAGTCCAGAGAGTGTAAGGGTTTTTTCCGTGTTTGCCTGAACTACACGCAGAATGTCTTTTCATATAGGCTGGCATGTTCAGAGGACACTGGACTGCCAGGAACATTCAGCACAGACCAGAGCTCCATTTCCACTAGTGCACCAATAGCTGTGCCCTTTAACTTAAAGTGGCTGGTGAGTAGCTCAAAGTGAATGAACATTGAAAAATATAATATGCTACAGTAGGCCTACATATAGCATATAGACTTTGCATAGGCATACACAACAAATGTCATTATTTAACCGACAGATATCACTCAAATAGATGCTGAAATAATCATTTCTCACTAACGCTTAAAAGACTGTGGTCAGAGTCTTTGTTTATCCAAGACAATGAGCCATTTTCTGCCAGTAAATCCTTCCCATGGGACCCGGGAAGCCTATAGGCCCTATATACATTTGAACTCAAATATTACATCATAAACAAACAATAACTAAAATGACCAACAAATGAGTAAAGGTTTTTGATATAGGTCTTTGATCAGAGCCTTGGTGTCATATGTAACACAACTAATGTAAAGTTAAGTTTAGTGTTCATGCTTGTCGAAATATTTTTTTAAATTTAATCTGTGAAATTGAGATGATGCATTTTTGCTCACCTGTCACCCAATGACAGACTAAACTGACACACTGTTTTATTTCTCATAAACGCTCTTGCGCTTCATCCGACAACAGTACAAATGGATTTGGAGCGTTTTCTTTGAGTGGAACACCACAGCTCCCAGTGTAGCATGGTGTTACAAAATTACTACTGAAAGCTCCAACCCTGATGAAAAACAACTGAGCAAGCTAATCAAGGTCTTCAGGATCATAGATATCCACAATAAAGCCTAGATGTCTTACGGCAGAGTTTCTATCGTCATCAACTGGCGGCCATCTTGTCACAGGCAAGCTGATGTAAGATGATCAGCACGAACACAAATACTCTTATCTCGTTGAAATCTTGACGGATTTACAAACGGTTTGGTTTCTTACAGACGTTATTAACGTGGATATAATTGTGGATGATTATTTATTTATACACTTATTATGCATACGTATGCAGTGTCATAACTACATCTCTGATGTTTATAACAAACCAAACCGTTTGAAAATCGGTAGAAAATTGGGCAGGTTTTGGTTATTTAAAAAGTACATGCACCATTAAAACACAATGTTACGAGTGAGCGAGCTGCCTGTGACAAGATGGCCGCCAGGAGCAGACGTCGACCTCCATTGGCCAGCAGCGTGGACGAGATATCTAGCCTTTATTGTGGATAACTATGTTCAGGATCAAACTCACAGTGTGTTTGATCAGGGTTGGAGCTAAACTCTACAGGACAGTGGCCCTCCAGGACCAGGTTTGAGGAACCCTGGTCTAGGGTGACCAACAGTCCTGTTTTCCCAGGACATGTCCTATTTCACGTCCTGTCCTGGCTGTTTTTTATAAAGTGATGAAAATGTCCTGGTTTTCAAAAAAACTGCTGGGAAAGATCAGCTCTACAGCAAAATATAGATGAAGAAGAAAACAGGATAAAGAGGAAGAAAACTAAAGATATAAATATGTCATTTGTTGTTATTTAATTCATTATTTTTTAAACCCGTCATAATAAAACATGTTGAGTATCCTCTGAGAAGTCTATCTGATTTTGTGTCTTGTAATATAACAATTTTTTATCCATACAGAGGAGGGCCTACTTTTAATGTAATGAAATTAATAAGGCATCTTTGAGTATCATTTGAGTGTCTGTTTGACGGGTTGAGTGTCCTGGTTTTTGGTAATCAAAATATATGGTCCCCCTACTATCATTACAGGGAACTGTCTCAGTGATAATTGAAGCATGGAACACAGAGTCCTCCAATGATCAGTCGACAGGTATGCCCCTTTTTTCCATTTCACTTTTTATTTACAGACCAGTGTTTAATAATGCATTTATTGTTTTTGTAGAGGATCTAAACAGTTTGATTAGCCACTTTGCCACAGAAAGAAATCTTACTATTGGTGAGAAATGGTCCCAGGATGTGCATCTTGGAGAGCAAAGTAAACTGCGCTTTTCCTACCGTGTAGTGTGTGATGAATTCTTCTATGGCGACGACTGCTCTGATTTCTGCCGTCCACGAGATGACCCGTTCGGTCACTTTAACTGTGACGCCGCTGGAAATAGAATTTGTTTGCCTGAATGGAAAGGCGAATATTGTGCGGAGCGTAAGTGTTTTTTTGTTTGTTGCCCATTAACATCACTATATATTTTTACTTTTTTTTTTTTTATTATTATTATACATTTTTTTAACAGCTATCTGCCGATCCAGCTGTAGTGAGAAACACGGTTATTGTGTGGCCCCTGGTCAGTGCGAGTGCTTCTATGGGTGGCAGGGCCCTCGCTGTGATGAGTGTGTACCCTATCCAGGGTGCATGCATGGCACCTGCCAACAACCCTGGCAGTGCATGTGTGACGAGGGATGGCGTGGCCTGTTGTGTGACAAGGGTCAAAATATCTAAATTCAGAAATGATGTGTTTTCCTGGTTGTGTTTTCATTTTTGAAATACAAAAAATATAATTAAATTTCAATTTTCTTTTTCCGGGACATCAAAAATCATGATGTCCTGTCAACAATAGATAGCGTTTATGGCAAAATGTGACATTTATTAAACTGTTTAAAATTACGAGCATCGTTTTAGGTTTCTTTTAGGGCCAGTGTGACATCAAGGAGACATTTCAACAGCAAATGCGCTCTATATTACAGAGAGGACTTAGATGTTACCCATCACACCCAAGTTGTATTATGCTGTCATGACCTTTGGTGGTAGATGTTGGAAGTACATCTTATGGCTGCATAGAACACCTTTCTCCATTGACAGTCATTGAAAAAAAAAAGTGCATTCTGACTGCATTTTTGCGGGCAACAAAAGGATAGTGGATATTTCATTGAATATACAGTATTTATATATATTATATATTCACTTTAAAATACAAGATGCTTTGCCAGGGTCATTTTTTGAGGGCTCTCAAGGGTTAGTTCATGATTTGATCACTTTCATGCTGTTCCCAACCTGTAAGACTTTCATTGATCTTTAACAACATAAATGAAGATATTTGAATGAAATTGGAGACCTTTCTGTCCCTTCATTGAGTCTACACAACTACCTACCACTTCAACGCTTCAAAAAGTCAATAAAGAGATCATAACTAATCCATGAATGGAGTGGTTTAGTCAAAACTTTCTTAAGACAGATTGAATTTAGGCTTTTATTCACATATAAATATTCATCAACTCACACATCTGTTATGATAAATGGAAGTTCAAGCATGTTTACTTGATGTGCAAGAATTAATGATGTTCTTTCTCGTGTTATAAAGCACGTTTGAGCTTCAGCAGGAACCAAAATCCATGTACTTTGAAGGTTTTTTTCAATTCATAACAGTAAGAGTCAATTTTAACAATAATAAATGTGCATAAAACAAGTCTTTTAGAATGCAGCACAATATGTGCAGTATATGTGCATATATGTGCAATATGTGCAGTGACGTGCGGTCTGGGTAGGCAAACTAGGCACTACTTACCCTGCCAAAATTCAAAAATAAAAATGTTTATTAAATAATAAACTTGTATTTGTATTTTTAATGTTTATTCTTGTGAGATATCGAAACTCAAAAATTCGACCCGGAAAAAAAAAACGACAGTGGTACCCCTTTCGTTTTTTTTTTTTTCGGGCGAAAATTTAAGTTTCTCCAATCTTCTCAAAACTCTGGATTCTGGTAGAGGGCCATGAGACTTAAACCTGAGTGCAAAAATGGAGGCTCTAGACCCTTCCAGAGCTGAGATATCGAAACTCAAAAATTCGACCCGGAAAAAAAAAAAACGACAGTGGTACCCCTTTCGTTTTTTTTTTTTCGGGTGAAAAATTAAGTTTCTCCAATCTTCTCAAAACTCTGGATTCTGATAGAGGGCCATGAGGCTTAAACCTGAGTGCTAAAATGGAGGCTCTAGACCCTTCCAGAGCTGAGATATCGAAACTAAAAAAATTCGACCCGGAAAAAAAAGCGACAGTGGTACCCCTTTCGTTTTTTTTTTTCGGGCGAAAAATTAAGTTTCTCCAATCTTCTCAAAACTCTGGATTCTGATAGAGGGCCATGAGACTTAAACCTGAGTGCAAAAATGGAGGCTCTCGACCCTTCCAGAGCTGAGATGTGGAAACTCAAAAATTCGACCCAGAAAAAAAAAACGACAGTGGTACCCCTTTCGTTTTTTTAAAAAATTAAGTTTCTCCAATCTTCTCAAAACTCTGGATTCTGATAGAGGGCCATGAGACTTAAACCTGAGTGCAAAAATGGAGGCTCTAGACCCTTCCAGAGCTGAGATATCGAAACTCAAAAATTCGACCCGGAAAAAAAAAGCGACAGTGGTACCCCTTTCGTTTTTTTTTTTTTCGGGCGAAAAATTAAGTTTCTCCAATCTTCTCAAAACTCTGGATTCTGATAGAGGGCCATGAGACTTAAACCTGAGTGCAAAAATGGAGGCTCTAGACCCTTCCAGAGCTGAGATATGGAAACTCAAAAATTCAACCCGAAAAAAAAAACGACAGTGGTACCCCTTTCGTTTTTTTTTTTCCGGTGAAAAATTAAGTTTCTCCAATCTTCTCAAAACTCTGGATTCTGATAGAGGGCCATGAGACAGTGAGACAAAAATGGAGGCTCTAGCCCCTTCCAGAGCTGAGATATCGAAACTCAAAAATTCGACCTGGAAAAAAACAACAACAGTGGTACCCCTTTCGTTTTTTTTTCCGGGCGAAAAATTAAGTTTCTTCAATCTTCCCAAAACTCTGGATTCTTTTTCGGGCCGAATTTTTGAGTTTCGATATCTCAGCTCTGGAAGGGGCTAGAGCCTCCATTTTTGCACTCAGGTCTAAGTCTCATGGCCCTCTATCAGAATCCAGAGTTTTGGGAAGATTGGAGAAACTTAATTTTTCGCCCCAAAAAAAAAAACGTAAGGGGTACCACTGTCGTTTTTTTTTCGGGCCGATTTTTTGAGTTTCGATATCTCAGCTCTGGAAGGGGCTAGAGCCTCCATTTTTGCACTCAGGTCTAAGTCTCATGGCCCTCTATCAGAATCCAGAGTTTTGGGAAGATTGGAGAAACTTAATTTTTCGCCCAAAAAAAAAATGTAAGGGGTACCACTGTCGTTTTTTTTTCGGGCCGAATTTTTGAGTTTCGATATCTCAGCTCTGGAAGGGACTAGAGCCTCCATTTTTGCACTCAGGTCTAAGTCTCATGGCCCTCTATCAGAATCCAGAGTTTTGGGAAGATTGGAGAAACTTAATTTTTCGGCCGAAAAAAAAATCGTAAGGGGTACCACTGTCGTTTTTTTTTCGGGCCGAATTTTTGAGTTTCGATATCTCAGCTCTGGAAGAGGCTAGAGCCTCCATTTTTGCACTCAGGTCTAAGTCTCATTGCCCTCTTTCAGAATCCAGAGTTTTGGGAAGATTGGAGAAACTTAATTTTTCACCCGAAAAAAAAAAAAAACGTAAGGGGTACCACTGTCGTTTTTTTTTTTCGGGCCGAATTTTTGAGTTTCGATATCTAAGCTCTGGGAGAGGCTAGAGCCTCCATTTTTGCACTCAGGTCTAAGTCTCATGGCCCTCTATCAAAATCCAGAGTTTTGGGAAGATCGGAGAAACTTAATTTTTCGCCCGAAAAAAAAAAAACGTAAGGGGTACCACTGTCATTTTTTTTTTCGGGCCGAATTTTTGAGTTTCGATATCTCAGCTCTGGAAGGGCCTAGAGCCTCCATTTTTGCACTCAGGTCTAAGTCTCATGGCCCTCTATCAGAATCCAGAGTTTTTGGAAGATTGGAGAAACTTAATTTTTCGCCCGAAAAAAAAAAAAAACGTAAGGGGTACCACTGTCGTTTTTTTTTTCGGGCCGAATTTTTGAGTTTCGATATCTCAGCTCTGGAAGGGGCTAGAGCCTCAATTTTTGCACTCAGGTCTAAGTCTCATGGCCCTCTATCAGAATCCAGAGTTTTGGGAAGATTGGAGAAACTTAATTTTTCGCCCCAAAAAAAAAAAACGTAAGGGGTACCACTGTCGTTTTTTTTTCGGGCCGAATTTTTGAGTTTCGATATCTGAGCTCTGGAAGGGGCTAGAGCCTCCATTTTTGCACTCAGGTCTAAGTCTCATGGCCCTCTATCAGAATCCAGAGTTTTGGGAAGATTGGAGAAACTTAATTTTTCGCCCGAAAAAAAAAAAAACGTAAGGGGTACCACTGTCGTTTTTTTTTTCGGGCCGAATTTTTGAGTTTCGATATCTCAGCTCTGGAAGGGGCTAGAGCCTCCATTTTTGCACTCAGGTCTAAGTCTCATGGCCCTCTATCAGAATCCAGAGTTTTGGGAAGATTGGAGAAACTTAATTTTTCGCCCGAAAAAAAAAAAAACGTAAGGGGTACCACTGTCGTTTTTTTTTTCGGGCCGAATTTTTGAGTTTCGATATCTCAGCTCTGGAAGGGGCTAGAGCCTCCATTTTTGCACTCAGGTCTAAGTCTCATGGCCCTCTATCAGAATCCAGAGTTTTGGGAAGATTGGAGAAACTTAATTTTTCGCCCGAAAAAAAAAAAAACGTAAGGGGTACCACTGTCGTTTTTTTTTCGGGCCGAATTTTTGAGTTTCGATATCTCAGCTCTGGAAGGGACTAGAGCCTCAATTTTGCACTCAGGTCTAAGTCTCATGGCCCTCTATCAGAATCCAGAGTTTTGGGAAGATTGGAGAAACTTAATTTTTCGCCCGAAAAAAAAACATAAGGGGTACCACTGTCGTTTTTTTTTCGGGCCGAATTTTTGAGTTTCGATATCTCAGCTCTGGAAGGGGCTAGAGCCTCCATTTTTGCACTCAGGTCTAAGTCTCATGGCCCTCTATCAGAATCCAGAGTTTTGGGAAGATTGGAGAAACTTAATTTTTTAGCCTGAAAAAAAAACGTAAGGGGTACCACTGTCGTTTTTTTTTTCGGGCCGAATTTTTGAGTTTCGATATCTCAGCTCTGGAAGGGGCTAGAGCCTCCATTTTTGCACTCAGGTCTAAGTCTCATGGCCCTCTATCAGAATCCAGAGTTTTGGGAAGATTGGAGAAACTTAATTTTTCGCCTGAAAAAAAAAACGTAAGGGGTACCACTGTCGTTTTTTTTTTTCGGGTCGAATTTTTGAGTTTCCATATCTCAGCTCTGGAAGTGTCTAGAGACTCCATTTTGCACTCAGGTTTAAGTCTCATGGCCCTCTATCAGAATCCAGAGTTTTGAGAAGATAGGAGAAACTTAATTTTTCGCCCCAAAAAAAAAAAAAAAACGAAAGGGGTACCACTGTCGTTTTTTTTTTCGGGTCGAAATTTTTGAGTTTCGATATCTCAGTTCTGACCTGAGTGCAAAAATAGAGGCTCTAGCCCCTTCCAGAGCTGAGATATCGAAACTCAAAAATTCGGCCCGAAAAAAAAAACGACAGTGGTACCCCTTACGTTTTTTTTTTCGGGCGAAAAATTAAGTTTCTCCAATCTTCCCAAACTCTGGATTCTGATAGAGGGCCATGAGACTTAGACCTGAGTGCAAAAATGGAGGCTCTAGCCCCTTCCAGAGCTGAGATATCGAAACTCAAAAATTCGGCCCGAAAAAAAAAACGACAGTGGTACCCCTTACGTTTTTTTTTTGGGGCGAAAAATTAAGTTTCTCCAATCTTCCCAAAACTCTGGATTCTGATAGAGGGCCATGAGACTTAGACCTGAGTGCAAAAATGGAGGCTCTAGCCCCTTCCAGAGCTGAGATATCGAAACTCAAAAATTCGGCCCGAAAAAAAAAACGACAGTGGTACCCCTTACGTTTTTTTTTTTGGGCGAAAAATTAAGTTTCTCCAATCTTCCCAAAACTCTGGATTCTGATAGAGGGCCATGAGACTTAGACCTGAGTGCAAAAATGGAGGCTCTAGCCCCTTCCAGAGCTGAGATATCGAAACTCAAAAATTCGGCCCGAAAAAAAAAACGACAGTGGTACCCCTTACGTTTTTTTTTTTTGGGCGAAAAATTAAGTTTCTCCAATCTTCCCAAAACTCTGGATTCTGATAGAGGGCCATGAGACTTAGACCTGAGTGCAAAAATGGAGGCTCTAGCCCCTTCCAGAGCTGAGATATCGAAACTCAAAAATTCGGCCCGAAAAAAAAACGACAGTGGTACCCCTTACGTTTTTTTTTTGGGCGAAAAATTAAGTTTCTCCAATCTTCCCAAATTCTGATAGAGGGCCATGAGACTTAGACCTGAGTGCAAAAATGGAGGCTCTAGCCCCTTCCAGAGCTGAGATATCGAAACTCAAAAATTCGGCCCGAAAAAAAAACGACAGTGGTACCCCTTACGTTTTTTTTTTTTGGGCGAAAAATTAAGTTTCTCCAATCTTCCCAAAACTCTGGATTCTGATAGAGGGCCATGAGACTTAGACCTGAGTGCAAAAATGGAGGCTCTAGCCCCTTCCAGAGCTGAGATATCGAAACTCAAAAATTCGGCCCGAAAAAAAAACGACAGTGGTACCCCTTACGTTTTTTTTTTTGGGCGAAAAATTAAGTTTCTCCAATCTTC